GCATTAAATATGATTTTACTTACAGTTTTTTGGTTTATTTGTAGTCCTTTGGAGGGTTTTGCCTTAATCGCCACAATTGGCAGGGTGTTGTTGTGTAGGCAGAAAAGATTTATAATACTTTATGATATTAAATCGCAGATACAGGGTGTTCGTTTCTCGTTCGTTCTCGTTTCAGCCAAATGACGTCCACTGCTGGACAAAGGCCTCCCCCAAGGTTTTCCACAATGAACGGTCCTGCGCTGCCCGCATCCAGCCTCATAAGAAGGCTCAAGGTCACCCAAAGGGCGATGGAGCGGGCTATGCTCGGAGTTTCCCTGCGTGATCGAATCAGAAATGAGGAGATCCGTAGGAGAACCAAAGTAACCGACATAGCTCGCAGAATTGCTAAAATCAAGTGGCAGTGGGCGGGGCACATAGCTCGTAGAGACGATGGCCGTTGGGGCAGGAAAGTTCTCGAGTGGCGACCACGGGCTGGAAAACGTAGCGTGGGCAGGCCTCCTACTAGGTGGACCGACAGGGTGTACCTATCTACAATCTACATACTCGTACATATTTATGTATCTAAAAACCTATCTCCCTCTTGTATTTGCTTTTGTATTTGATATGACATTTCATCAATATAAACATGTAGGGCAATCTAAAATTTTCTGATAGAGCTGGCCCAAATGTTGACTTTTGGAAGCATCATTTGTACCTACTCATAGCATTATTTTAATAACTCTACAATCGAAATGCCATAAGTATAGTTTTTCCGTAGCAACGTATGCTACTCGCGGGTTTCAGCTTTAGCTAAGCTCTAAAATTGGATAGCTAAACGGATTTGACCTAAAGCGAGCTGGAATACCTACTTATAGATAATGCACCGTATTGCATCGTCGAATTTGCCTCACACGATTTTAGACTTGGCTTGAACATGCATTCTTTACCTACGTTTTAAAAGTGCTTAGAACAGAAGGATAATTTAAACCTCAAGTTTATATTGAGGCCTCTTACGAATGTCTTCTAACATTGTATTCTTAAATACCCCTATTAAAGTGTGTTAAAAGTAACGAAGTAGCTTACTTAAACTAATCTTCAACGCGCATGAAAGATTTTATTAGAAAGGGTGCGGGCCTAAAAAATACATATTTTACGTATGTCAGTAACTATTTTGATCGTTTCGTTTTCGTTTTGTTTCAGCCAAATGACGTCCACTGCTGGACAAAGGCCTCCCCAATTTTGCTCATTATATTTTATTCTAAAATCCGTAAGATACGAGTAGTATCAAATCACATTGAAATTCACATTATAAAGGTGATACTAATCGTTGCCACAAAATATATTTATACCGTTCTCTCGGGTATTATTTATATCTAAAATAATGCTTACCATCAACTCTCATATTAGTAAATCGCTTCTTCATTTTCCCATTTTATTTCTCCTAATCCTCATCAAATTCTTAGTACCTCAGATGAGTGATAAAACCTCCTCCGGAATTACGCAGCGAAACTGTGGGCGTAATAGTTTTTCTATGAGTAATTTATATCCGTCTGGGGTGTGTGGAATGGCTCATTACTCCACCAGCTGCTATACTCCAGCCTTTAGTAGATCGTTATCCTGAAAACTGTTGCATTTAGACAATAAAAGAAAAAGTTCTGTATCAAAGATGTTTTGGAAAACGAATAGAGATGTAATAAGTAGACTATTTTCTTTTACTGTTGTCAGAAATTCTGCTAGAAGCACATTTTGAAAACATTTTCGTGGTACCCTAAAAACTAGTAGGTATTGTGGTACATTCTGACTGTAAAACTGAGCGGCATGTTACTTTTCTGGCACAAAATCAAGTTCGTACCGATATTTTTGTGATTTCGAGCTGAATCCCAATATTATCTGGCAATGACGAGGTCATTCATTCGATTTTTATATAAAAAAAAAGAACTATTAACCAAGTGCGTGTCGTGCCACGCGCATTGTAGAGTTCCATAGTTGCCAGTCGTTACCACAATATACATATTTCAGATGCAAGCAATTACTTCATCTAAAGTCACTTTTAATGTTTTCTTCTAGGGAATTTTTATTAGGTAAGAAATTTTATAAAAAATCCAGCGAAATATTGGATTGATAAAAAGATGTAAACGATCGCTATGTAGGTATTATGCGTAAAAGTAGATTCCATTACGTTATGTACACTGGAATTTCTTCAGTTAATTTACGAGATACTCCCAAAGATTAAGCCAACAAACAGAAATCATTTCCATTCCGATACCTCAGACTGAATCAAATAGGAAAGTTATTTAAAAGCAATCGCCTAGGTAAACAGAAATTCAATACAAGTCGGGAAATTTTCCGATTCCTATTTGATGTCGGATCTAAAAACAATTTGTTTGGTTACACAGAGTTTGGGGCAAGGTTTTCTGTTTTTATTATACGAAACTACCTATCTAAATTGGGTATATTTTCATGAAGAAATATGTTAAGCTACACAACAGTGATATAACGATGGGCTCTTTTAGGATAGTTGAGGGTACAGAAATGCTAACGATAAATAATCCCAAATACGATTAATTTCTACAAGATTTGTCGCTGAATCAATGCTTACTGGCACTAAACAAATAATATCTTCTTAGTCCACTACAGCGTCCTCTAATGAATTTTCGTAATACTACACAAACGTGTTTTGACCATCATAATTAAGAAATTTCCCAAGTTTTTTTAAAATTCTTTAATTCATTTAAAACGCAAGAACGTATTCATGATCAATTTACATACATTAATGAGTTTAATCTGCTCGCCATTTCTTCACACTTTGATTTTGAGGTGTCTACGGAGGTCTTAAGTCTCTGTAGACTTTTTTCACATTCAAAATTCAATTTTCAAGAACGAGCAAACGGCGACTCCACCATAATCTTATTATTTTTAAATCACACAGATCGTTCCAGCCAGCCGCAAGCAATGGGTAGCACAATTCATTTCCTTTGTTCTAGTAATCCGATCTTGGTCTACATTTGCAATGCCAGCGATTTTTAGTTATACCATAAAGAAGATTGAAACAGAAGTCTCACCTTGTGAAACGAAAATGAAACGCATGTTGTCAAACTATATCCGGGTTTGATTAAGCTGGGGTTATGTACATTTATAAAGAAGAAGTATGTAAAGGTCGTAATTTATTGTAGGTGTAAGTAGGTTAGGTACCTATACGGTTCATGATATTATTATTTTTGGTTTACTACAGTCGGTAATTGGAAGTTACGTAGGTCACACAAAGTTTTCTCGTAGGCCGTGACAGGCAATCGTCAGTTCGAAACTAGTTTTTCCTATATTATGTTGATGTTGTTACATATTTTGACCCGGGTCAGAAGATTGTCTTTTACTATGATTTAGTTCCGTTCTAACTTTATTATGTTGGTTTCTATTTTGCATCTTGACTTATGCAACAGTTTTTGTACCCAGTACTTTAGAGCATAGATACTCAAAGTCTTATGCCCGTTTTCACCATCAATCCCTAATTTTAAAGCGACCTTTATGAAATATTAGGTAATACCTAACAGGAATTTCGTTTTCACCAACACATAAGGGACATCTTAGGCCTTATGGGAGCACTTTAAAACAGGGGCCCGATTTTCGGCCGCTTAAGTGTTAGGTGACAGTTATATTGTCAATCACGCCTATTCGGCAAAATGGAAACTGAATGAAATGATTTTTTTTAAGCTTTTTATGCAATTGAGACAGTGGAAACACTTTTTCACTAAAGTTTATTCAGGCGGCTACATAAAAATATTAGGTATAGAGTGAGGATGACATACGGTATAGATAGTCGGTATTGGTCACTCATTACTTATCTCATAACCAAGCTATATTTCTGGCTTCGTTTGTAGTCCCTAGAGCCCTTACAATACCTTATAATTAGATATAATAAAGATTTGATAGGAAGGAGGGCTGCACTAAGGCTTTCTTGGCCTTAAATCTGGGGGTAAATGAGACACAACGCGGACGGTTGATATCTGGTTTATTACTGTTATGCTATTGCTATATACAAGATTTACACAATTCAATGTGTCCAGTCCAATGTGCCGTCGGTGTAGAGTGCCTACAGTGCACGTTGAGGGTTCATGGGCCAGTCGGCTAGCACGTAGGTCGCGGTCGATGCTGACGTGCTCGTACAGTATCCTTGTGGGCAAGTAAATTTTTTTAACTTTTCGTATTGCTGCCATGATTACCAAAAACCTGTTTTCAGACACTTTAAGTGTATCAAAAAGTTGTATGATAGAGAAGGTGCTACACTTAATTTGTCTGATATAATTTTTTTGCACATGTGGACAACTTATTTTATCATGTCCAACAATTTTCAGACATATTGCTATGATACCGATCGGTAAAATTTGTTAACATTTTCAAAACGGTCTCAAAATTTAATGCGTTCACATTTCCGTCTGAAAATTGTTTTGTTCGCATCAAATAACCAAAATTTACTAATAAAAAAGATTTTCAGACGTATTGCTATGAGACATTTTTTTTGTCTCATTTTTAATTTTTTTAAGTGATTTTACGGGTTTGCGCTACACCACTAACGTCTGAAAATAATGTTTCCGGTATCTCAGAACTATCATTCAACTACAGTCTGCAAATCAGACATATTGCTATGATGCAGTTCGGTAAAATTCTTTGACAATTTTGAAAATTCGGTCAGATCAAACGCTACGCGGAAAATGTCTGATATTGGTATTTTCGAGTTCAGGATAATCGTATCTATCGATTTGATGCGGTTTTGGCCGTATTGCTATGAGACAAAAATTTTGGTCGTGGGCTCTCGTACTATAAATGGTGATATCAAATTTCTGACTTCACCATACCATTTATATGCCCATGTTAACATGGGCTAGTGTCGGCTCATATACCCATTTACCTAACACCCTGTCTACATAATAATTTATAACACATTGCAGAGCGTTTTTCGATGTGTGCGACGGTTTCTTTACAAATTATTCGTGGACCGAGGCGGATGTGCGGTCTAGTGCCAAAGAGGCGGGTGATCGTATCAAAGACTTATTCATCGGTATTGATGTATGGGGCCGAAATTTCTACGGAGGTGGACAATTTAACATACAAGAGGTTATTTGTTAAAAACGATATTTTTCAATATTCATTACCTATGTACTTACCTACTTATTCTACTATAATTATTTATTTTAGGCAGTTGACATTGCTCATGAAAATGGGTGCTCATTAGCAATATTTGCACCAGCGTGGACTCACGAGGCAATGTCCACTGACAAAAGTGATGTTAACACGGTAGCCATGTCGGACGATTTGGATATGTACGAACACTTCTTGCTCAGAGACCGTGCCCTGTGGGATAGTATATGGGATTATTTAAACACTAGACTACCGTGTACTTTGCCATTCAAAACTTCGTTTTGTAGAGGGCAAGGGAAGAAAAGACGACTTTATGGAGAGGTAAGTATGACAACATACGTATGCCTTCCATAAAAGTATACCACTATGAGTTAGTAAAGTATGCATCCGTAAAACTTGTGAATATTTTTTTAGGTACTATGTCCTGTACCGTGGTACAATTTACGACATATGCAGTACCAACCTAATTCTTCACATGGCCCGCACGGATACCTTTTATCGACAATAGATCGTATTATACATGCCTCACGCTATGGTATTCATAGAAATTCCAAAAGTATAATTAGATATAAAGCGGACGAGAACTCTCAAGAACCGCATGTTGAATTACAAGCCGTTAAAAGCTTAGAAGAAGATATACAAAAAAGTGGAGTTATACCAAAATCAGACAGTATAACCGCACTCACAGAGGAAGGTAATGAGAATGAAATTGTAGACAGACATGTAAACGAAAGCAATTCAAAGAGTGTTAAGAGAAAGATCAAGAATGCTTTTAAACATATGTTTCGAATAAAAACTTCGAAAAGAGAAGATGAACTAGAAGAAGAACCCACTCTAGAACCCAAACCTGTCGATGAACAAATGAAACTTGAGACTCACCAAGAGCAAGATATGGAAAATGTGTTTGATTCCAATAAACCCTTAATTATTAAAGACGAACGTCAAGTTACATTAGATTTGAAGCCAGCTTCAGCAAGTAATGCCGAACAAGCACAGGAAAACAATGTCATTGATCAACAGGATCAACATGAAGAACGAGACCAAGACGTGGAAAATGAAGAGTTAGAAGAAGATAATGATGAAATCGAGTCAAGGGTCATTAAGGGAAGATCTATGGTTCAGGTTTCGATCAACATAAAATTAAAAGACACTTCTGAGAGAACTCGTTATGGGCTTGCTTACATTGCGGAGGAATTAGAATGCCTCGAAGTTTATTTTGATGATAGTTTTATTGGTGGCTCATGTCTAAAGGTTAATCCTTCGGATTCGGTGTCACCAAAACACAGATTAATAAGAATATTCCATTGTGACTTTTTTTGTGAGGAGTATTTGATTGTTTGTGTAGTGACCAAACATTTGCGTGGATTCGAGGAACAGTTTTTGAATATAAAGTTTTTCATGACAGATGCTCATGATCAGGAGCACAGAATTGTCTTGATCGGGCGCAACTTGCCTCACGCGCAGCACCCCCAGGAAAGCGCTAGCTGCTTTGTAAATCTGTATCCTGTAAATATGAGCTCTGACACTGACACTGAATTTAAAGATATTCAAAAATACTTGTTGTTGAATAAACCAGATTACTATGTTCCAGTTGAGAACTCTTATGATTGGATTGTAAGGTAGGTGCCAAAATTTAAAAAGTTTTGTTAATTTGTGAAATTAAATTAATCATAATTATTACTTCGTATTAATGTTTTTTTTTCTTCTAGATATTATGAAATACACCTGCCGGGGTCCAGAGTGACATCTATTAACTGTGACACAGGTCTAGCTCAGGGGCCAATTTTACTGGGTCACTTGGGGATTTGTCCCAGATTGAGTGTGAGTATTTCAAAAATACATAAATTTAACAAGTAGATTACAAGTGCGCGCGCTATTTTAAAAAATGATTTTTTATATTCTCAGGCTAGATTCTAATAGAGACGTTCCAAAAGTGTCTCTTAACACGTCGCTAAAATACTAAAAGAACACTGCAGGCATCATGCAGCATACTACAGTTTTCCGTTATTTGCTATAAGTGTAAATTTATTTTTCATAAGAAAAATGGGAGTTAATGGGACAATATGATTGAGTCAAGTACCTCGGTATTTTGTGTACAAGTAGTAGGTAGGTACTAGTGTGTAAGTAAGTGCGAATAAAACTCTCGACAGTGATCTTAAGTCACCGATAGCTTGTCTAATCTGCCGGATCTGTTTGATGCGCACTCGAGCGGTGCGTAGTGCAGGCGCACGCTGCCGCGCTCGTGACAGTGCTGCGGTGACAGGTGGACACAGCCACGAGAGCAACGGACACAGCTGACCAACTGCTTATTTTGCGAGGGTGAGTATACTTTAGCAATACTATTATAATTACAAATATTTAGTTTAGGTACCTACATAAAATAATAAAAGGGATTAGAGAGTGATTAAATAAGTATAGTTTTTATAAATTGACACGCATCTTAGGTTTATGGTCTAGATTTTCCGTAATAGACCCCCAGGATTCTCAGAAATATGCTAACGACTGTACACTTGACCGGCATTAGGAACGCGTGCGCACGTTCTCGGGTTTGATTTAATAGATTTGCCAATTAGCTTATCGGTCATTGAATCCTTGCTCCGATTCGGCTATTAACCGAATTTAATATAAGAAAACTGGAAAATCGATCAGGCATCTGAGTCATCTGACATGATTTACGCTGCAAAACTCGTCAGATTATGCAACTCCCTCTTTTTTCGGCAGATACTTTTTATAATCTTTCAGATCAGACATTCGGCGTTAGTAACAACATAAGTAGTATGTACATGATTTTGTTGTTTATACATTCAGTTGATCCCGTAGGGCCTTTAAATGATTGGTCACGGCGGTGTTTAGAAATAGGTACAGCCTTGGTACACCATTGATAGCATCATCCCATGTGATTCTCTCCAATTGCCGTCCAAATGTGGGTCTCTATGATTGAACTAATTGTTTGTTGTCAATTATCGCCCTTGATATTGACAATATCAACATTGAGAGGCCCATTATGACATAATGAGATAAAACACGCCTGCATCATATTGGATAACTCAGCCATTGGTGTGATTATTGCTATGACATTCATCATAGGCGCTATCTTTCCTTTTCTCAAACTAACCGATACAAAATTATTATGCCTTATGATTTATTTGCCATCGAATTATCAAAGGCACAAACTACCAAGTGTAACATGTGGTATCAAGCAATGATAACTTTACATTTTTACCTGCATTTGTGTATTTTGAGTTAAAAGCATTATGCAATTTTAAAGTTAGAAGCTTTCGTTTAAGTTCAGAAATTGCAATATCTACTTTTTAGTTTGATCTATTTTTTTCAGTTTTAAAATTTCAATTTATAAGTGCATTTACATATCCAGGAATGCTTACATTACAGGCGTGGATAGGTATTACATTATTATCATTTAGTCTATGTCTTGTTTTTTCAAATGAACAATTAGTTTTGGGGTAGCTAGTAATAACACTGCCAAACGGAGGTATAATTAAGAATCTTGTCGATGGCCAAACCAAATGTTTAAATTCACGTACATCGGCAGTTGACCTGCCAGTTCCTGAACAGCGAGCAAACTTCCACATCGTCTTGTAGACCATTTTCGTGCGGGGCACGTTATCTTAGCCAGAAGAAATTGGTAGTTTTTCAAATAGAAGATAGTTAGAATCTTCAAAATAAGGCGATCGCCGCGTAAAAAAATGTGAGTGATTAATATGTTTGTTTTTTAATATTTTGACCACAAGACACTTAATTATTTTTGAAAATTTTATCGATGGGAATTTTGTCATTCTTTTTTTATATTTTTGGGTGGAAACTTGGTTGTTAAAGGTTTTTGGTATAGTACCTACCTATCAATGAGTTTTTCAATCCAGTCAATAGATTAACTTTTACCGAATTTTAGCAATTTGTTCCGATAATATTGAAATTATATTGGTATCATTTCAAGCACTGTTCGAGGCATTTTTGCTGAAAGAGTCGTTCACTTTAAAATCATACTTGGAAATTTTCCATAAAAAGTTGAGGGTAGAAATGAAAGTTAAAATTTTAAAATTTACTGCTAAATATCGATCAAATAAATAGGCACTAGTTAGATTCTTAATTTACATAATTTATTTGTACCTATGCAAATTACGAAATAACACCTACCTATTTAAAAAAGTCCAAAAATAAGTACACAACAAATGAAGGTAGTTGAAAATAGTAATTATGTAATGTTGTGTTTTTGTTGTGAAAATCCTTTGTTCAGCAGTGGACCTCCTTTGACTGAAACGGAACGAACTGCTAGAGGAAATGTTTACTGTGGAAAATGCATGAGTTCATTTGAGTACCTACCTATTGTTTTCGTTACAACAAAAAAAAAACCTGAAACCAAGTAAAGATAAGTGTATCGAACGCTAAATGAAAGTCAATGAATGGAATATAAATTAGATCAGCTAAATTCCAAATACCTAATGAGAATGTTTAATTACTCGTATTAATATGGAAACTAATATTTCGAATTAATTGTTCAAAATGAGTTTTTTTTATTCGTTGTTTGTGCCCAATCGTTCTTGCAGTCTGTTTTTGTTTATGCAGTTTAGTAGAAGGAATATTTTGAAAATGTATGTATGTATGTAACCTACCCACATTTTAGCCAATTGTTCGAAAGGGCTTTGCAGAAAAAATGTGTTTATTTTAGGTGCGCATTACGAAACGACACTTAAACTCGATTCAATGAAACATAAGCATTAACTCTGTCCTGTGATTGATCGAAATAATGAAATTCAATCAATCAAAGGCTTGAATGCTTACTTATATGCTAGAGATATAATCAAGCTTTGGGCGCTGTTTCGTAATACGAACCTTAAAATTGTTCGTTAGCCTTCGCGCCGAATTGTATTGACGATGTAAGTACGTTTTCTTAGGAGAATGCTTGTTTATTGGTATTTCCATAGTATTTTAGTACTGGCTTAGCAATTTTCATACTTCGCTAACACTATGATCATAATCTCTCCACATTTACACTAGCTGTACTTGTATGGGTACCAGACAGTGGACATGAAAACCTTCATGTTCGTATTATGCAGGGATCGAATCCGCGATCTTTGGCGCAGAGGCTATACTAGCGCTATTGTTCCTTTCTTTTATTCCATTTATTCTAGTCGCATTTTCCGCATTTCTGCACAAAACCACGTTCAACGTTTTTTCTTTTAATTTTCCTTAGTGTGTGTTTTGCATGTATTAGTAAGTTATCTTGTAATTTAGCATATCAAACCACCCACACCTAGACATGTATTCTTTCTGTTTTATTGTAATGTGAACACTGTTTTCACAGTCACAAACAGCATTTATAGATAAGTCTACATGCCAGAACTACTTATGTATAGTTTATTATCAATTCTTGTGTAGAAACTAGTAATCGCAGTTAGTTTGAGTTGGCTAGATAGATTGATGTGATTAGAACTAGGAAAAATCGGCAGAACACGTAAGTACATAGTGCCAGTACCTAATATGCCATCCTCGGTGCTAATCCATGTTCATGGGGGCACCAATGACACTGCGAAATTATACTTAGTTGAAAGAATTGACAGTCCCTTTATGACGCAATGGATTCGGCTGCCTCTATATACCATAAGTCGTATGATAATTAAAATTTTACTAATTTTAGAAGTCTGACTGTAGCCTGTTTTCACCGTAGCCCTTCAAGCACAAAACGAAAGACATTACGCGATCATGTTGTGACCGCTTGGGGATTGATAGGATAGCTAGGTGGATGCGCGATTTGTAGTAGGTACCCAGTATGTTATATTGTTGGTGATTGATGTTCTGTTTATGAGGCCTATGGTGAGAGGCCACCATTCGGAGCCGTAGGTATGTCATCACTGGTAACACACACTGATTAAAGACTTTCGTCTTGAGGCATTGAGGTATTTTGGGCGAAAAGATGCTATGTAGCTTCCCGAACGCTGCCCTGCCGATCCGCTGGATGCAGGCCGCTACCAACCGTGCGATGTGGAAGTTTTTGGGGGATGCCTATGTTCAGCAGTGGACGTCCTATGGCTGAAATGATGATGATGATGATGATGATGTTCTGTGGCTTGCAGGTCATTCATGCTGGGGCAGCCGGAGGCGGCCATGTGTGCGGCGGGCGGGTCGGTGTCGGGCGCGGTGACGGCGGCGCTGCAGTTCTTCGCGCTCGCGCAGTGCCTCGTGCAGGAGCCCTGGCCCAAGGCGGCGCATCCCACAAGTGAGTACTTTTATGACAAACAAATTAACCCTTTAAATGCTGGGAAATTGTCATGAGAAAACCTTGACTTTTTCATTTAATCTAAGTTCATATCAACTACTTTATTCTCAGTTTGGCCCTAAGGTTGACTGGAGGAAAATGCCGAAAGGCATTAAGTCCGCCTTATGTATACAAAGTACAGTTTGAAATAAATAAATAAAATAAATAGGTATACTCGTATGTATTAATGATGTTAATGTTGGATTAATTCATAGCTAACATCTGTGCCATTCTGTATGACGTATGTACCGTGCTATATGCAAATAAAAGCATTGTAAATAATATTTTCTAAGAAAGGAATTACCACCTAGGGTCCCATGCACACTGTATTCAAAGCCAGAGTTACTTACTGAGCCTTGTCAGAAGTCTGAAGCACTTTTGGACACATTGAGTTTGTAATTGCTTGTTTTTAAATAATTGAACCAATCGATAATAGTGCCATAAGGCCTTATATTACAGCCATCCGGGAAAGGAGGGGTTAATAGTCTATTTTTTATTAATCAAAAGTACTCTCAATGGGTACCTAAAACACCTGCACAATTAAAACTAAACCATTCTGCTAGTAGCTACATTAGCATTATCATTGTGATCCAGGTCGTAGTCATTTAAAAACAATAATAAAATAATTATTGGCGGACTACATTCATCGATACTCACAAGTCACTGACCTAGGGTAATTAACTTTATACCACAAACTTCCTACTCCTTCTATTGTCAGGGATTACTATTATCTGTCAGATATACCTACTATTATTTAATTATCTACGTGTTACGTTATCATGATGCTATTCCATACGCTTTGGTTCAATAACTCGATAGAATTAAATCTGATTTTAATAAATTTACATAGTACCTACTGCATATGAGATAGAGGTTTTTTTCCCGTGACCTACATTGAAGCACTCGTACTATTAAATATTTACACTCAGGGTCAGATTAACCATGTCACGGTTCCAAGGTACCTTATAGTACTTCTCAGAGGCCCTTTACCCTTTTTTAAGTTCCTAAAATATATTTTTCTGATAATTTTTACTTAAAGAAATGACACAAACTAAGAATATTTCGATAAAACTACATATACAGGTAAGTAGATTGATCTATCCCAAGTAATAAGAACCTATTCATTCCTCCTTATGCCCATTCCACCCCTTATTTCTGATTTCTGTCTGAGTGGTTTTCATTAAAAAATATGTTAGCCTGGAAATTATAATGCTAATGAGTAGATGGTTATTCATTTTAATGAAATCAAATGCATTAATTCCGTACGGATGTCCTAGATGGCGTTGGCCATTTCAATCTCGCATCGCTTATATGATCATCAACCCGTGGAGAATGCTAAAATTGTGGTCGAATTATAATTTAATACTGTTTTATTGTAATTCCAGATGACACAACGTTCGATTACATAGTAGTGGGAGCCGGTACCGCGGGCTCGGTGCTGTCGTCGCGATTGGCCGACCTGGACGGCGTGTCGGTGCTGCTGATCGAGGCGGGCGGCGACCCGCCGCAGGAGAGCATCGTAAGTTCTCTCGCTTCCCCTGAAATTTATACAGGGTGTCCCAAAAAGTAGTGTCAAGCCGAAGCCCAGAGGTAAAGCACCACTAGGGCTACCGGAATCACCGCAACTTTTGATAGTTTTCGAGTTATGATTTTTTTTACAACATATAGGATTTGTAACTTTTTTGGTTTACATTAGTGTTATGGATGTAAATACTTCTGAATCCATCATTACATCTAATAATAAAAAAAAATCGGGCATGTACCTTAACTATTCGCGCCATATTGACCGAAAAAGTGCCTAAGCACAGAAATTTAAAACGATCATAACTCAAAAAAAAAAGTATCAAAAATCGCGGAACATACGAGTACATGGGAGTGATTCGGATAGCCCTAGTGATGCTCTACCTCTGGGCTTCGGCTTGACACTACTTTTTGGGACAACCTGTACATAGCTATTGGTTTTTATTATAGAATAATCCTGTTAACTCCTCGTGGTGAGCTAACTATGCTTGTTTTACGAGTGGATTCACCACAATAGCTCACGCACGGCGGGGTCCAACCCACGTTCCTCGAGTCTCGATTCAGCCAGTCCGACACCGACACGAGTTGGTCTCAGGGAAAAGTTAAGCTGTAAATAGGAGATGATGATATTATAAATGCGTAGATACTCTGGTGCTTTTGACACCTAACAGACTCAACCATTTTTGTCATGTTGGTATAGAGCGAGGATAAACCTTGGAGAAGGATTTTTTTTGTCGTTAAAATAAAACTAAAAAAGTATTATGTGCCTACAGACGATAGCGTATTTTATGAAATTCCTATTGAAGTTGATATCTTTTATTTGATGTTTCAGATCCCCGGTTATCATGACGTGTTAAAAGGGACCAAATATGATTGGAATTTCACAACCGTTAACGACAAGGTCTCAAGTCAAGCTCTAAAAGGAGGAAGCCAGAAGCAGCCGCGCGGCAAGATGCTGGGCGGCAGCGGCTCCCTCAGCGACATGGTCTACAGCCGCGGCCATCCCGAGGACTACGACGACTGGGCCGCCGTGGCGGGCGAGCAGTGGAACTGGAAAAACGTACTGGAATATTTCAAGAAGACGGAACACATGACCGACGAACAGATCGTCAACAATCCTGAGCTCATGGCCTACCACGGGATCGACGGCGAAATAGAAGTCACCGGCACCAACCGCTCGACGTTCGCAACGCAAATATTCTTAGATGCGTTCGCTGAATTGGGCTTTGAGAAGGTGAAGGACATGACCAATCCCCAGAAAATGGGCACTGGACGATTTTCGCACACCATCAGAAAAGGTCAACGCGACAGCGCCGCGACGGCTCTCCTGAACAAAGCTGGATATAGCACCAAACTGTCTATTCTCAAGGATTCACTCGTGACGAAGGTGATAATCGACGATAAAAATAAAGCCGTAGGTGTCGAAGTCGTCACAGATAACGAAAAGAAAATCTTCAAAGCGGACAAGGAAGTCATTTTATCCGCGGGGACGTTCAACACTGCGAAGCTGCTCCTCCTGTCCGGAATCGGTCCCAAGAAGCATCTGGAGGAAATGGGCATTCCCGTCATAAAAGATTTGCCCGTGGGACATAACTTCCACGATCACGTTATGGTCGTCGCGTTTCTGGCCAGCGAAAAGGGGACGTGCACCGAGGAGCAGAAAGACACGTACATGCACACGATCGAGTATCTGCACAGCCGCACCGGCCCGCTCGCCGACACCGACTCGATGGGCGCCTACATCGCACTAGAGAGAGAATCTCATCCCACCGTCCCGGATTTCGCCATGTACCCCACCTGCGTGCCGGTCAACGCCGGTTTTTACAAAGGATGCCAGGTCTCGCTCGGGTACGAGGACAGGATCTGCCGGGAGCTCGACATCCTGAACCAGAACTACGAGCTGATCCCCGTCGCCGTCGTTCTTCTGAAGCCGAAGTCCAGGGGCAAGGTGACGCTGAGCTCGAAGAACCCCTTCGACGCGCCGCTGATATACGCGGGCACGTTCAGCGACGAGGAGGACCTGGCCGGCTTCCCGAAGGCGCTGTCGCTGGCGTACAGCCTGGCCAACGCGACGTACTTCCGCGGCAAGCGGGCCTTCGCGGTGGATCTGAAGCTGGAGGCGTGCGAGGAGCTGAGGGGCGCGGAGGGGTTGAAGTGCCACGCGCGGCAGCTGGCCACGCCGGCGTGGCACGCGGTGGGCACGAGCGCGCTGGGCGCGGTGCTGGACGGCGCGCTGCGCGTGCGCGGCGTGCGCGGGCTGCGCGTGGCGGACGCCGGCGTTATGCCCGCGGTGGTGCGCGGCAACACCAACGCCGCCGTCGTCATGGTCGCCGAGCGCGCCGCCGACTTCATCCAGCGCGAGCTGCGCGCCGCGCCCGGCTACGAGTATTACGACGTGGAGTAGCGCCCGACGGTCCGGAAGCTTCCTCGCCGGGACCAGAGTGAATACAAATGAGTAGGTCATCTTTATAGAAACGCACCGAGCGCGGTTTGTATGTGAGCGCACCAATATACGTATGCGGCTCGCACGCACACACTGACAAAATTTAGCAGTGATTAGCGGTGAGGTGCGCCGAATACATAGAAACCGCGCTCGTGCGTTCCTATGAAGATGACCTACTCATTTGTATTTACTCTGCCGGGACCGATACTGGAGTCGTACAGCGATCCGAGCAAACGTTTTCGAGTTCGATCACCTGTACGCTCCAGATAGCGGTCCACAAGTTTGAGATTTAAGACTGATTGTAAGTTAATTTTAAACGTAAGATGTACTCTAATAATGCATGCTTCAGTCAGTATTCGTCAATTGTTTTATTGTAAACTGTATTATTAATAATTGACTTGGGCTGATTATAATTATTATAATAATTCGTATGTGATGTGCCAATAATTTACTTAGTTTTTACCGTTGCCTCATTAATACTCTTGCTATAATTTTTTACCTATGAAGTTATTTTAAACTATAATAGAAATGACGTAACTTGCAATATTTTACACATTACGTGACGCTGTAACAAATAATAAAGAGTACAATTTACATGCTCAATGTTAATTTCAATCAATGTTTTTCTTTTTATTATGTATTTCACAAGTGATATTTTTAAAATCTATTTTGGTAAGTATGTGACATCTTAATAAAATTTTTATTTCAAATCAGTTGGATTTTTTTCATATTTTTTAGCAAAATACCCTGCTGTCCAAAGATTACCTTTTAATTTATGCCTGTTCAGCGTTAATTTACGTTAGTAAGTAGGTAATTCCTTACTCGGATTGATTGACCGTTCAATTTAATTAGATCTCTTGAGATCTTTTTTGTTCTTTAGTGACTTCTGTGACAAGGCAAAGAAAAAAGTTGAATTTAAGAATCTACGAGTATCTATCTTCACATGTTCAACAGTCTCGTGCAGTTAACATTATGTTTTCCGCTCATATCTCTGTCATATCACATGTTGATCTATTGTTTAGAGGCTGAATTAAGTCCAGTCAATAAAGCATTATAGATGGAAAACTGTAGAACACAATTTCTGACTTCAGGACTTTATTTAGACTAGTTAGGAGGTGAACATAGCAAAAGTCCCCGTCCTTAGCCCTTGAGCCGGCGGGGAGAGGGGGGTTTAAAGGTGCCACTTTTCGGTTTTTCGCTTAATCCTCGGAAACTATGCGTCCTAGTGACATGACTACTATGAACCAAAAAAAGCATATTCAATTTGCTACAGGTGAGATAGTCAACTTTTTTGATAAATTGTATAGTTTTCGCGGCATCTGCTCTAGAAGGTCTGTAATATTGGAAATTTTATTTTTGTCTTACATGTTCCCATCAGGAGAAAATCGACTAAATCAACATTGAGCAATCATTCTAGACATGCGGGAGCATGTTAAGCCTAGTTACAGGGAGGGGACTGCACCGTGCGTATATTTAGACGAACCACTTTGAGCCACTATTGACTCCTCATCACTCAAAAACTACTGTGCATTAACACTTCAAATTTGGCTCATGTGTTGAGACTTGCAAGATATACATCAGCTTCAAATTTCATAAATATGCCTCAAACGGTTCTTTAGGTATTGACGTCCAAAAATCTACATGTCTGACCTATATACCAAATTCTAACCACTTCCAGATGACCTCGAAGGTTCAAACCTCCCTGGAACTAGGCTTAACATGCTCCCGCATGTCTATAGTGTTTGCTCAATGTTGATTTAGTCGATTTTCTCCTGATAGAAACATGTAAGACAAAAATTAAATTTCCAATTTTACAGACCTTCTAGAGCAGATGCCGCAAAAACTATACAAGATATAGAAAAACTTGACGGTCTCGCCTGTAGCAAATTGAATAAGCTTTTTTTGGTTCATAGTAGTCATGTCACTAGGACGCATAGTTTCCGAGGATTAAGCGAAAAACCGAAAAGTGGTACCTTTAAACCCCCCTCTCCCTGCCGGCTCAAGGGCTAAGGGTGGGGACTTTTGCTATGTTCACCTCCTAACTAGTCTAAATAAAGTCCCGAGGTCAGAAATTGTGTTCCATGGATTTCTCTCTACACCGTCGTTAAGGCATTCATTGACTGGACTATAAAAGTTGCAACTAATACAGTAATATTTATTTTAGTACCGGAGTTGCCCCAGTCCAAACGCAGACAATGTTACATTATTTAATTTGTCTATTAATTTATTGATGCCAGCATGTCACAGTGGTTGACTTGGAAAAAAAAACAAAGTCTGAGTTGCACCAACTAACTTTGACCGTATTTTATCATTAACCGGTGTTTTTTGTATGGAGTTTGACGGATTTTTTACGTTTGTTAAAGTCAAAGTAAGGTGGTGCAACCCAGCCTAAACATTAACCCCCTTACTAATAAAAAGTTATAGTTACAAAATACTGAACTGTCCTATGCATGACATTGACAGTGGGGCGCCACCGTCAATACCGGATCGCTGGTTCCGATTTGTGCCATGTTGGAAACCATATAGTTGAACGATGGTAGCGCCCCCCTGTCATTGAGTTTGGTGGGACAGTTCAGCGTGGGTCAACTATATACAGTTGTTGAACACTGTTTTAAAATGACTTTTCCATACTAAACGTCACTTTAAAACACTGTTCAACGAGCGTGTAAGTTTTATTAGTAAGGGGGTTAGTCAAGTAAGAATCATCAAGCAATCAATCAAAAGCTGTTCGACGTAAATTCATAGAAGATTTATGAATATCCCTTAAATGTCCTAAAATCAATAGAGGTAAATGTTGTAAAAGTAATTTTTAATGGTGTTTTCATACGCCAACCATCGCATTTTAAAATATCTTAGGATCTGCGCATACTGTACGAACCTCCAGTAGCGCATCGTTAGAACATCATTAGCACACGACTAATTATTCAGTGTCGCAACACGTGGAAGTCACACGTTACGCGACCAATTTTAAGTCGCGGATCCGCTGTGCAAAGGACACTGCAATCATCACAACTTAAATAAAAATTTAAAATTAAAATACGTACTAATAAATAATTCTCTCAAGAAGTCTGTGTGAGGTCTCGGCAAGCGCCAAATATTAATTACACAAGGGAAAGGGGGTGATATGATATTGGTAATTCGACTAACTATCATCATTCAATATTTAAATTATTTTTATTTAGTTTCATTTTATGAATAGTTAAAATTTAAAATCTTGAAGAAGACTTGGCTGTAAGGCGTAATTCCTTTGCTTTTTCTTACAAAAGGAAAAATATTGACCAAAAAAAAAGGCAAATTTTAATTTTTAATCTTTTTGGCGGGAATCTAATCTGTGGGCGGGAAAGCCGGGAAAGTGCTATTATTGCGTGCTCTGTGAGTGAAGTGTCATGTTTGGCTTGTGTTTGGCAATTTTGTTTTATTTTGTGAGTAGGTAGGAGGTTTAGTAATAGCCGAATTTAAGTGATATAATGGTGGATTATTATTTATTTGTAAACGTAGTAGGTACCTATCAGTGTCTAGCTAGAACGCACTTTACTATAATAAGGTAATTTGGAAATATTTATATTTTTGCTCCTGTCCACTGACTGATTGCGGAAGAATGTTGAAAACGTAATTAAATTGCATAAGTTAAGCACCTTAGGGCATAGGATAGGGTCTTATTATGTCATTTCGTCATAAATCATAGTATTAGATTACACCACCACCCGGGCACACCCGGGTTCCTTAAACGGAGTGAAACGCGCGACATAGGTAACATTATAATTACATGCTAATTTAAATGTATAGGGACATACCTACTACAAATTATTATAAGACTTTATGCACTCTATGCATTCTTGGCTGAAATTTATTTGATATCAATAATAATTCAGACAAATCAGTCAGTGTTTGCGTACCATAATTTGTATTTATGGCAGTGTTTTATTCAGTGTTTGGAATCATTGTCAACAACTTTAGCCAAAAAACGTGCCTGTAACATGTGATGGGTAATCTAATATCTGTGCAAGCTGTTCAAACCGCCACTTGCGGCAGGTGCGCGACCCTCGGGCCGTCCGACGCGCAGGCTGCGGAAGCGATGCGCGGGCGCCGCAGCACCGCAGTCAGTGGAGCGGTGGAGCGGCGCGACAGCGGTGCAGCGATGCAGTTTAGTGATGGTGAGTAGATTACATTATGATTGTCGATAATTAGAGTTCTTGCATTATTTAAAAAACACATGATTTATACTAGGTTGTTAAAGTTATTTTTGCATTAATTAATTAGCAAGCTAATGAAATTATTTATTTTATTTACTTATTTATTTTAATTAGACAGGTTACAAATTATGTAGTGGGGGACGCAGTTGATTCTGTTTTAACAAGATTATTAGCTCAAATATTCCCATTAAATAAAATTGTCAGAAGGTCAGTGTTATTGCCGAGCTGACATGAATTACAGATTTTACCTTACCGTTTTACTTAGCTGCATCCTATTAGACAATGTAATTATCGATATCGATAGACTTAATAACAAATAGAACATCCTCACATCCTCTTAGTTGTTATAAAAGTCACAAGTTGACCACGACGATGCGTCGCGATGAACAGAGCCCCGATTACGGTAATTTTTAACGTCAACAATCCAGACACGCTTCTCGATTCTGCGATACGATTGGTCGTTCAACAGCGTACGTCAGCTGTTTTGACCAATTGTATCGCAGAATCAGAAACGCGTCTGGATTGTAGACGTTATAAAAGTTACCGTAATCGGGGCTCAGTTCTCATTAGTCACGCGCGGAGAGAGTGGCGTGAACTATGACCGGTGGTGGACCGGACCGGCGGTAATACATGCAGGAATGCCGGCGGATTGCACGTGGATCTGTTTAGGTTACTTTTTACATCTTCGTTTAAGAGGTCCATGGCAAACTAAACATACTAAAGATATTAATTACTTGCCAACATTGGAAGAACAAACCATCAATTTAAAAGTTGAATATTTTGTGATTAATTAAAAAGCTATGAAAATAGGCAAAACAAACTCTGCACACACAACACAATCAGACTAAGTAACCTATAGTAGTAAGTATCAATTAGTTCCGGTAGTTCTAATAAATTGAGCTGTGTTAATGAACGGCTGTATGGGAGTTTAATTGCTCGTGCAGTTGTAGAAAACTAGTCGCAGCCTTCCTTGATGTCGCGAAGGCGCGTCGCGTCGCGTCGGAATTTTCCGCCAGAGGCCGCCCACGAGTGATAATTGCAAGGGAGAAGGGAGCGCGTTTCCGCGCGCGAGAGCCGTCGCGCTTTCACCTGCGCGCGCGCCGGCCGCCGGCGCTAGGGCTGCCACTTGTTGCACGATTATGATGTTTAACACTTAGTCTTAAAGTATCTTTTATTGTAGCTACGTAATAATTTTAGGTACATAATACAACTCATTAATCACGCATGATCTTGAGTTTACATTATCTATAATATGTTGTGATATTACATAATTAAAGCATTCAAAGGGGGCGATTAGCAATGATATACCCTGTTCTTTTTTATTATTATGAATGGTAAATCAGTTTTAAAGTATAACATTTTAACCCTATCTAAAACCTATCTGCATTCTGCTACGAAAACTTCGTAGCTTCGTAGTTTAACTTCGATTGTTTCTTCAAACAGTTGTACCTTTTTGAAGAAAACAACCAATAGCATGTTAATAAAAAAAGTAGGTACAACTTTTCTGCATTTACAAATGTTTTTACACAAGCCAGTATAGTATTTGAACTCTACCATGCTTTGCTTCGCTATAATAAAGTGGACCAGTGCCGGGAAGAAGCATGCGCTGATGTGACGTCACTATTTTCAGCTAGCTTTATAAAATCTTGTATAAGAGTTATAAATACGTTAGTGGAAAAATATAAACATAGTACTTAGTTTAGTAAAATCTTACTGTAACTCCAGCAACCCTACCGCGAGCAGTCCGGGACCACACCGCACGCGCACTATGTTTACATAGCGACAGACGGCTCGTGCGAAGAATGCAAGTATACAAAACAACCAGTGGACGTCTATTCTTAACTCAATGCAACAAGGTTAGCAATTGAATGAGTTTTCCATCACCAATGGGTCGTCTGTACTCCACATTTAAGTGCAAGATTTAAACGCCTTGGGAACTCGGTCACAGGGTCGCAAAAGTAGGTTCTAGTTTTGGATGTGCTAAGATTGAGATTAGGAAAAACCATTGTTTTGTTCAATCTGATAACAATATGCTTGTAATTAAGCACCTTTACCAAATACTTTTACTCATAATATTATCACCTCAAAACTTTTCCCATTTAAAAACAAATCTTAATTTTAGAACACGTAGTACAATACAGATCTTTCTATTTAATTTAATAAAGATCCTTTTCTGAGATTTGAAACAGAGATTAGGTATGTTGCTTTCAGAATCCGTGCTTCCTAGAAATAAAAAAAAACCTAATTACACTGCTTTCATAACAATATTTACGGTGTCGGTATAGTAATTAGTGAGCATTTGACGTGCGTACAAGTAGTCAGTCACTCACAAAACCTGGAAAGCTTTTAAAACTCTCTTCGGTTAACAATGAGCGTGTGTACTACAAAAACGTGACACACGATTCTTCAACATTGATTAGTGTAACGAATAACAAAACATCAATACCCCAATCAATACAAACTAAAGGATCAGTAATTGCCGGCGAAGACTTTCACGTGCGCCCGCGCCGGTGGCGGCTGCTGCGGCAGTGTTCCGCGAGGCGCGCACCCGAGCGCACGTCACACGGCATGCCGCCATGGCCGACAAACGCTCCTCCACGGAGACCGTCACCATCGTCCCCAAGGACGCCTTCGACGCGCCCACGGCCACCGTCTCCAGCCTCAAGTCCGAGGACTCCACGGAACAGTTGATATGCAAGACGCCGCTGAAAAATGTGAAAAAATTAAGTGCCAAAAAACAGAGTGTCAGCTCGAAGAGTGTGGAAGCCGGGAGTGATGCCGTGAAGGGCAAGGGGCGGCGGGTGGTGGTGTTCCTGGGGCTGGGGCAGGTGGTGCTGGGCGCGCTGCTGGTGGGCGCGGGCGCGGTGGCCGTGGTGAAGGGCGCCGCCCTGTCGCGCGTGGGCGCCGGCCTGTGGGCGGGCTGCGTGGCCGTCGTCACCGGCGTCATCGGGGTGCTCGCCGGCATCAACGACTGCTATGGACTCCACGGAGAAAACAATGGGTAAGTTGTTTATATTGCCTTTCTATGCATCAAAATGTTGCAAAGTATACTCGATTAGAACATTGAATCATTGCCTCGATTGAGCGATGTGATCATCATACAATCATCTGATACCACGCTCTGAGGATTACGCAGCAGTTTACGCAAAAGCGTGTCAAGTTAAAGCAAAGCAAATGCTATTTGAACAGCTCGATGCCTACTGATAATGCAATTGCGATCCCATCGGCATCGCCTGAAGATACGTCGGTCAGAAACAACGCGACAAGTCAGATGCTTCTAAAGCCTTATTTCATGAGCAACTGACAACAAGTCAATAAAAAGAAAATTGTCGTCATCGCCCAGCAATTCAAGCTATCACTATAAACCCTGAATTTGCAAATTCAGGGTATACGCATACGCACTCTCCAACCCTCGGCTTCACCAGCGTGTAGATATTTCTATTTAACACGGAAGGCTTTCACGCGTGAAATTATGCATTCCCTGGTAAAATACGTTTAGACCTCTTGAATATCTTAATAACAAAAGGGTCATCATACCCTTTTCCAAGGTGTAAACTATCTCTATATCAAAAAGCATTATCTATACTTACTATGTTACTTAGGGTGGATTCGACCAAACAAGAATAAATTATAAATTTTAGAATAAATCGTCAGTTTTGACATATTTCCCATACTGAAACTGTCAATGTGCCAGTTATACTACGAGTTATTCTCCGATAAAAGTTTGGTCGAATCGGGCCTTTAATATTTATAAAGTTGAAGAGTTCGTTTGTTTGCTAATCTCAGGAACTACTGATCCGTTTTGAAAAAATATTTTTGTGTTGGATAGCCATCGTTGTGTTGGATCGGTAAAGGTAAAGCCTTCACATATAACATCACCCTACAGCCAATAGGGGCAGTAATGAAAAATGTTGCAAAAACGGGTAATTAATATTATTCAAACTATTTTCACGCGTACGAAGTCGCGGGCACAGCTAGTAATACTTAATTGTTTATTTTTTCAAAAAGATACACCAACGACATATAACTTTGCATACAACAATAATACAGTGTCGAGGAATATATGCCTTTACAGGTGGATATGTCAACGTGAAATTGTGAACTCTGTCAGTTTATAATATAACGCGTTAGATTGTAAACTAACAGTGGGTTAGGTTAGGTTAGATTGTAATTTAACTACGTCAGATTATAATCTGACGGAATTCACAATTTTACGGTGACATATACATCGTTTCCTAATGTCGAACGTTGACCCGAATTAGTCTTTAACAAATGAACAGTCAGCAAGAGTTGTTTCACTTGTTTGTTTAACTTTATTGATTAACCTAATCATAACAATTATTTTAGTAACTTAAATCATATTTAAAGTTTTATTTATACTAATTAGTTAATTACCACTAAATTATCTTTTATTCTGTTACTTTACTTTAATGTATCACGTTACTCGTAACTATCTCCGAGTTATATTCTATTTTTGAAACAGTTTAGAGAATGCGTTCCTCATTAATATCTAAGTTACGTTATACCTAGTCGTATTGGAGCTATTTACAGCTACACAACAATCGAGTGAGTGCTGTTATTTTGTTTAAATCTATCATTATATTGGTTTGGTGGAACACGCGAAGCGGTTGCGTAGAGTATTGTGCTCGGAGTTCAGAGGCGTGTCATCGAATAAATTAGCTAATTTCCCGACAATAAGCCGCGGGCGTTATGCAACTGTGGCCCGCGTGCACTGAACACTTATTCAAATTCAACAAAAGTTCACTAATAAAGCTCCTCCAATATTATTTGTCTTTATCTTTAAAAGTTGATGAAAAAAGCTACACCTTGAAACTTTTAAAGCTTTCAATCAAAGTTTGTATACGAAAGAATCCACAATGTAGATCGGTAAGAAACAAAGAAGCTTATCTATAAAGGTTATCGTATCAAGTGGATGTCGCAACACTTGTCGGTGTTTGCGCAGAGTCGCAGCATCCCGCAGACGCGCCCGATGAAAGTCGCGCGGCTTTCTCCGCCTGCGCGCGCGCCGTAATGATCCGGCGGATGTTACGGCTAGCAACCTGACCAATGCTTTACATAATACGCATTGTTTGGATGTCAATAATGACATTTTAATTTGCTGTAGGTATTTTAAGAGGTACTTACTTACTTACTCACTCACCTTTAACGTTGGTAGATTTATTTATGTTTGAACTTTTTCTCATACTTATACAAAATGTATCTGAAACTATTGAAATATTTAAAATTCGCCATTCCAAGCAACAAGATTGAAATTGTAGAAATAATTTATTTAGTGTCTAATATGATTCGAAAACGACATTACTGCAAGTTGAATGTTGCGCAGTTAGCTAACGGAATCATATGACTTTATTATTTTTCGACACGTACAGTGCGCGCCCGAGGCGGTGCGGGACACAACGACAAGTATTCGTTTTGCAATGTTGCCAAAACTACGATCATTTTCTTTTTTCTTGATTCGTTTTAGATCTGATTCGATTACAAGCTACAATTCTTTGAATTTCAAATGCGAACTTATTCGGTTACTGCGATTTATACTCGTATCAGCCGCAAAAGGTTCAAAAAGATCTGCTTAGTTACACACATTAATTATTAAGCAGGTTACCTACAACAACAATATCATTATTTGAGGCATGAAATAAGACTCTGACGAAAGTGGCTGAGTTTCTTGCGCTGCTTCCCCTCAGCACTGGCCCATCTAATTTAGCTGAAGCTAATTATATTATAAAAACGCTTTTTTAAACGCTTAGATAATTGCAAAAACTAAATGACTTTTATGACTTTTTTAATCCCTCAAATAATTGCAACTCTATATCGCGAGTGCAATGCGCGTACGCGCGTGAGTCGTTACGCCGCGTGCCCGCGTTGCGCAGAACGCTCGATGCACACACGGCAAACTGCATTCACACTAGAGCTGCAGTTTGCACCCACCGATAAAGTATTTGCAGGGTTGTCTTTAATTGCACTATTAGGAACTTTTTGTTATGATTTTAAACTTTTTATAATTTACGTACAATTCGTTGTAAGATTCTGTTAATTTCTGTTAGCAGTTTTAATGAGTCGTTTGCCGATGCTTTCACCTTTTTAAACGTTGTCTATAATTAACCCAACTGTTGCATCGACAACAAAAGTTAACGACTTATCATTGTTAGTCGCCATGATTCTCACCAACCAGCCACAGCGAACTGTAAGTGGTGTGACATGTCGTTAAATTTTATTGGAATGGTGAGATTTTGAATTCTCTCATAAACTGTGTCTTCTATGATAAACAGATATATTGTAGCAACTCTACATTTAGGTCTAAAAGGTCTCTAAGTTTGTCGCATGAGTGCTGTTTTGACATGTGCTTCCTTGAATGACAAACTATTCAGTCTGGCGCACAGTGGTCCCGATTTAATAAAACATGGACATTGATGCTAGAGGCACGAAAATTTTTTTGATGGTTACTACTATGATAACTAATACGGCAAAAAAATATTACAATCCTACGACGTCTATTTCGTAGTAAAAAAAAATATATACATATTTTTTGTATGGAAGAAATTACGTTTCTGTCAATTTTTCGAAATTCTTTAACGATGTCAAGATGCCGATCACACATGTTATAAAACAAGTGATTCTGAGTATTTCATGCGAAGATACTTGTCACTTATCTCTGCGTACTTTTGAGTTATCGAGGGTTGAAAAATCGATTTTTTTATATTAAATATTTCCACGAAAAATTGCCAAAATTACAATATGGTGTATAAGGGACACCTTTGATGACACATAACAACGACTCGCACTCGCGCGCGCTCGTATGCATCAGCTTTTAATAAAATAAAATAAAAAATTAAGGGAAATACTTAATACAACGTTGTATGTATAGGTCCGCTGGCCGTCAAAAAGTAGCTTATACGAGAGGTTGCCCAATTTACAATATGTCCATCATTGATAACTCACACAAATATCGTCTCTCTCTGAAGGATAACAAGTTTTTTTTGTTTCCAGAAGCTCTTGATAGGATGGAAGCCCATAAATACTCTCTGAAGCGAGAATGAATCTCAAATTGCGATATTGCCATTTTGACAAATTACATGATGTAACTAGCGCTAACGTTTATCTTCAGGTAGACACAGTTTTAAGTTAAAAGATTGTCTACTATTTCACACTGTTCTTCGTTTTGGAACAGTTCTTTGATTATAGGTAGTCGCTAATTTCGTTTTGTTAGACTCTTTCAGTTTAGCACATAAAGCGTAAACTAATTCCTCCTCAGAATGATCTAAAAGTGTTAGAGAGCGCCTCTTCTTCTGCAGAAGAAGAATTTTGCATAAATCTTCAAAAGGTTTTTTATTTATACCAGAAGTCGATGGTTGCACATCTACTTCCGCAGTCTCATCAACTGGAGCGTCTTCCTCGGTGTTAACGTTGTCTATGCGTTGTGTTAACTCGGTAAAAAAACATTTTTGAAATCTATATTTTTACATTTCGGCCAGACCATTTCAGACTAAAATGACGAACGTATTGGCATTGAATTGTCTTCCGAAGATTTGAGTAATTATCAAATCATTAAGTCGTAATTTTACAAGAAATATATCAAAGAAGATATGGTCTGCTTCCAGCAGAGCCCAAAAGACATTTTTGCACCAGAATTCGCATTGGCTAGACTCTGAAATTGTCTGGCCGAATTGTAAAAATATAGATTTAAACAATGTTTTTTACCGAGTTAACACAACGCATAGACAACGTTAACACCGAGGAAGACGCTCCAGTTGATGAGACTGCGGAAGTAGATGTGCAACCATCGACTTCTGGTATAAATAAAAAACCTTTTGAAGATTTATGCAAAATTCTTCTTCTGCAGAAGAAGAGGCGCTCTCTAACACTTTTAGATCATTCTGAGGAGGAATTAGTTTACGCTTAATGTGCTAAACCGAAAGAGTCTAACAAAACGAAATTAGCGACTACCTATAATCAAAGAACTGTTCCAAAACGAAAAACAGTGTGAAATAGTAGACAATCTTTTAACTGATAACTGTGTCTACCTGAAGATAAACGTTAGTGCTAGTTACATCATGTAATTTGTCAAAATGGCAATATCGCAATTTGAGATTCATTCTCACTTCAGAGAGTATTTATGAGCTTCCATCCTATCAAAAGCTTCTGGAAACAAAAAAAACTTGTATTCCTTCACAGAGAGATGATATTTGAGTGAGTTATCAATGATGGACATATTGTAAATTGGGCAAACTCTCGTATAAGCTACTTTTTGACGGCCAGCGGACCTATACATACAACTTTGTATTAAGTATTTCCCTTATTTTTTTATTTTATTTTATTAAAAGCTGATGCATACGAGCGCGCACGAGTGCGAGTCGTTGTTATGTGTCATCAAAGGTGTCCCTTATACACCATATTGTAATTTTGGCAATTTTTCGTGGAAATATTTAATATAAAAAAATCGATTTTTCAACCCTCGATAACTCAAAAGTACGCAGAGATAAGTGACAAGTATCTTCGCATGAAATACTCAGAATCACTTGTTTTATAACATGTGTGATCGGCATCTTGACATCGTTTAAGAATTTCGAAAAATTGACAGAAACGTAATTTCTTCCATACAAAAAATATGTATATATTTTTTTTTACTACGAAATAGACGTCGTAGGATTGTAATATTTTTTTGCCTTATTAGTTATCATAGCAGTAACCATCAAAAAAAAATTCGTGCCTCTAGCATCAATGTCCATGTTTTATTAAATCGGGACCACCGTGTGGCGTCGCGACCGTCTGCCACACACCGCACGTAACGTCGCTCCCGCTGCTTCCCGCAGCCGCCGACCGTGACCGCTGCGCAAGAGCACCGCCTGCGCCATAATTAAACATGCGAAGAAACATTTGCATCCATGCACTTCCGCATTATGTAACATGCATTGTGTTTACTTTACGTCTTTGCTCGAGAATGAATTCAGTCATATCGTGAAACACGATCTCGAAGATAAAGTTCATTCTCTACAGTCTTTTGGTAATAGAGTTAAATTCCACTAAAATATTATGGGTGTATGTAATGGTAGAGCAATACTTTGTAATTTATGCAAGCTATGCAATAAGCTCGGAAACCAGACAAATCAAGAGAGGCGAGAGGTCAATCTGCTTGATGGAAAGCGTTCGTTCTTCACTTATGATCCATCAACGGCCTATAGGTAATCGCACTAATCGCGGATGACTTTCCACAGCGGGGCTCATGACCCCAGTCATTAAGGGTGCTCCCGCTCGTTACCAGGAGCTTTCCCAGCAGCTAAGCACCTTCCATAAAAACGTTGATTTGCGACCGTCTGCGCGCACAGACTAGATGATCTTCGGCCATAAGTGGCGCGCGTGCTTTCTCTACAGGTGTAATGATACCGCATGGCCCCCGTTACGTCAGGGAAAACCGCGTTGTATCACCACCGCATGAGGTCGACTTTTAATCGGCATCCGAGTGAAAACACTCAATGACGGAATTATAAAATGCTATAAATGGAGCTAGTTTCATGTGTTTACGTTTTGTGTGGAACTGGAAAGTAAGTGAATCATTGGCTCGAGCGAGCGACGAAATGTTAATCGCGGATGAAACACCTTTGCAGTTTTATGATGTGTCTGCTTTGCAGGCTCGATTAAATTACGCGATGCTTACGTTAATGAATACATTGGTTTCTCTTCCTTTCACGGGGATGAGAAAATTAAACATGAATAACTATTCCTTAAATAGAATGTAATTACTCGTAGCTACGAGTAGATAGGTAGGTACTTCGAATAAGTAGTTTGCTTTCTTTTGGTTTTTATGTTAGTATTCTAAGTTGGTCTTATATCTGCTTATCGTATCGTCAGTTCTTTCCACGAAAGCGGCATGTTTTTGGTATTCTGGTAATATACTTATGCAAATAAATATCTTCATCTTTAGGTATTCTCGAAGAACGCACTGAACGCATTAAATATTTCTTAAGAGATTGCTTGAAGGATGAAATCAAATTACTCAAGCACTTAATCTGGAATACGATTCAATTACATATCTGTTTGTTTAAACCATTTAGCAGCTTTCCTCGAGTCTTCTCGTACGCTCTACTTGTACGTCCATAAACGCATATTCATACAGCGGGCCGCTTTCTGCTACAATTACTTGGAGTAACTCACGCGGCATATTTAAAGCGAATAAGATGTTCAATGGCGATAAAGACATAATTACATTCTGGTGAAAGTGTGTGTCGATTCATGGATCCGACGATATGCCGGGCATCAGACGTCAAGAACACCGATAACAACCGAGCCTTATTATCGCCTTTGTATTCCAAGCACCGCTCTCGATAATTTGATTGGACGTTTAATTTGAAGCCAGTATTTTATTACAACAATAAAATCTCCAAAGTAGCAGGCAGACGCCTAAGTGTGCATTAATATGATGAAATTAGCTCGAGTGCTTTCATTAACATTACACATTACTAATTAATTATACTTAAACGCCTTGTAAATACTCTGGTAAACTTGACGGACGTCAAGCGACTTCGTTTAACAGTTTTCTCAACATTCTCGTTTTAACTGTTATCGCTTATTGATTTTTTTATGTAGAGCAAAATTAACTATTATTTTCTTCGATTTAAATTTCTTAAGTTTTGTAAATATTGATGTTTATCATGATCTTTTTCGATATACTACGTAGGTATTTTCCATCAAGTTAATATAGACGTGTCCCACTGATCTACAAAGTTATGAGCTTAATATTGTTCCGCGCCCATAAGTTTGGACAATGTATAATATTCAATTTGATTAACTGTTCCACGCCCTTGTCTATGCCCTTGTTAGACAAATGTTCATTTTTATTAAATTAAATATAATTAATTGAACGAGTTTTCCAATCTGCGCCGGTAAAAACTGTTTGTGTATCGGTTCACATAATACGAAGGGAAGAAGAGTATTTTTTTCTGTTTATTTTATTTCCTTTACTGTAGGAAACAAATTAGGCTAAATTAGCCTCGAAGAAGCTTGGTGTGCTCAATAGATCGAGACGGTATTTCACTCCAGCCCATCGTCTGCTATACGAATGGAATACTGTTCTCATCTTTGGACAGGTGCGCCCCAGTACCAGCTTCTCCTCTTGGCGCTGCGTAGAGATGTATCCTCACTGTGTATCTTCTATCGCATGTATCACGGGGAGTGCTCCGAAGAATTATCCGGACTTATTCCTGCCGCCACTTTTCGCCACCGATCACCCGATAGCACTTCCACCCCCATTACTTAGATGGTTGGCAGTCCACAACATTACGTTTCTCTAGAAACTTCTGCCCCGTACAACCAAACTGTGGAATGGACTGTCGTCTGCGGTGTTTCCGGACGGATACGACCTGCAAGCTTTCAAGAGGAGAGCGTATCTTCACCTCAAAGACCGGCAACGCACCTGTAACGCCCCTGGGTCTGCGGTTGTCTATGGGCGACGGTAATCACTTACCATCAGGTGATCCGTCTGCTAGTTTGCCTCCTGCCACATAAAAAAAAATTAAAAAAAAAAACAATTAAATAATAACATGCCTCATTTTAATTTAAATGTGAAAATAATATTTAAAAAGCAAACATAAATAAAAAAGCTGGTACGTGTGGCAGTTTTAGTTCTTGTAGCGTTATTTATCCAAGTAAATGTAAATCATAAATATTTGGCGCGTTCTACGAAAATACGAAATAAATAACTACTTCACAAGTTTGAAATAACTGAACGCGATGGCTTGTTGATGTTCTTGTTCGGATTGTGTTCATAAAGTTTAGAATGAAGTGGTGACTGAGAGAAAGTGTCATAACTTTATTTTAATAATACATTAAGTTACAAGAGCCAGAAAATCTGACCAGGCAAGCATGCTCTGGATGGAATGCTATCCCTTTTGTGTCCCGTATTGCAGTGAACATAAATTATGGCTACTATTTAAATATGTTCATTGACTGAAGTACAGACGATAGCAGCACCACAGAATAAGGGACCTTTTGAAGTTGTATTAGCCTAATAAGAGCGATTTAGTAACAAAAATGTGTTTGTTGTAGGGGCAGCCCGCTGCTGACGGCGTTCCTGGCGCTGTCGCTGCTGTGCCTGGCGTGCGGCAACAGCGCCGCCGTGCTGGCCGCCACCGGCCTGCAGCGCGACTCGGCGCGCGCGCAGCCGCAGCCCACCGCCAGCTTCGAGGTGCGTACAGCGACGACTGTCCCACTGTACAGCGGCAGCCCGCTGCTGACGGCGTTCCTGGCGCTGTCGCTGCTGTGCCTGGCGTGCGGCAACAGCGCCGCCGTGCTGGCCGCCACCGGCCTACAGCGCGACTCGGCGCGCGCGCAGCCGCAGCCCACCGCCAGCTTCGAGGTGCGTACAGCGACGACTGTGCCACTGCACAGCGGCCGCCCGCTGCTGACGGCGTTCCTGGCGCTGTCGCTGCTGTGCCTCGCTGACCCTGTGTGGGGTCTGCGTACTCAGAGACAACTGTCAGCTCTGTACAACACATTACTTCACATTGAACAAATTCGTTCTTTTGCGACGACAGTGTAACATCTCCTATGTTAATCTAATTGAAGATGTCACACTCGTCGCAAATGGACGAAAAATTGAATTGATAAAAGCCCGAGCCCAGAGATTCCGTTGACATTTTTATGATCCTGTAAGTGATTTAGTAACTATTGGTTGATTGGCTTAGGATCAACTTTTAGAATACATCTGATATTCCCACGTGGGTTTGGTCTGGATTCTAGATATGGGGAACAATCGTTGGTAGCAATTCTAAAGTCTGGATTACAGAAGAATTACGTTTATATTGACCTAAGGATTTGACACATTACTCGTCCTCTCCAAAGAACATGCAAAACAAGCAAATTAAATTGCGTGACTTATTGTTGTTTTACGAGGCTGTAAAGCCTCCGGCCTGTTTTCGAGTCTTCACCAGCCCGGCGACAGGGATGCCGACAATTACCTTGTTACTTTACATAATGATTGACAGTGATTCACAATTTCCTTGAAACGTTCGAAGGATGTTGCAACGTCTTGTAATCACTGGTATCATCGCTGCCCCGCCGCTAATTATTCAGAAACAAATAGACCGTGTAATTAAGTCAGAGGTCACTGACCACTAAGGTTTAAGCAAAAGAATGCACGGTATATTAAACGACTTGCGGACTCGTGCGCTTTCTTGGAACAACGCAATCAGCTGTTAAAATAAACAACTTTTACTAGGGCACCGAAATCGCAAAGAAATCGGGATCGCCCAATTACATACTTGTTCTTAATTATGGTATAACACTGTAGAGTAGGTATAAAAGATTCCGCCACTTTTATATTTCAAGAAAAAGTGCGCTGTACCTTGTCAAAGTCATTTCTACCAGTGATAAGACCGTCCAATTCAAGTCTTCTGGCTTTTGTTCCCTAAATTATAATTTTATTTACGAGTATCTGATTTATAATTAGTATTGTTCATATCATGAAGGTGGTGGTCGTTGTACCCTGTACCCTCGCTGTGATGGCATCAGTCACGTGACCGATGAGCGGCGCGTGCGCACGCTTTGCGATGCTACTAATTAAAGCTCGTGGAGTAGAACAAGCACTGCAGCCATGCTACTTCGCCATTTAACTGATCATTCTGGAATTCTACTTGTATTATTTATTAGTTGAGATAAAAATATTTAGCGTTAAGGTGAGGCCCTATTAGACTGCGCTGCGTCGCGTCATAAAAACTTAGTGGTTCTTTTTTGTCCTAATTTATGAATTTCTGGACAGTTTAGTAAATTGTGTATCCACCTTTACAGAAAGAGGGCGCGGTACTGCACCACTTGCATTATAATAACGACCTAACACGACAACTGTAGCAAGTGTTGCAACTTGCCCCCGATAGGTTTAGCTTAGGTTTAACGACGGTTCAACGCCTAAACTATTACCGATTAATTTGACGGTTAAACACGACAGCTTATGAAATGTAAGTTTTAGGTAACTGGCACATAATCATTGGGTGCCTTGTCTGTCTTGTATATGGCACATACAACTTCATATAATACAAGTAGCGAATACTGCTTGTACGTAAATATGCAATTTCATTTTAATTATTCCTTTATTTTGTCTCTTTTAAACATTTTTTTTGTTTTGTTTTATATTTCATTAAATATTATGTAAACAAATTGCTATGGGCGAGGACTATACAAGTATTGTATTACGTGTGGTTCTCTGTTAAACGCTGTAAGATGAAGTCACGACCAAGATTTAATTATAAACTCTTTGAAGGGATTGAAATAAATGCAGGCGCTAATTAAATGTTTGTAATGACGTTCGTGAGGTGCGCTTGCGCACCGCATCATTAGTTTTTAATTCTGTGCTGGGTCGAGACTCGAACCTTGGCCGTTGTGCAACGTAACATGAGGGTAATCTTCATCAATCATTTTCGTGCTGATGTTGTAGTAGACAATTGGTATCTACACTAATATTATAAAGAGGAAAACTTTGTTTGTTTGTTTGGTTGTAATGAATAGGCTCAAAAACTACTGGACCGTTTTTAAAAATTCTTTCACCATTCGAAGGCTACATTATCCACGAGTAACATAGGCTAAATTTTATTTTGGAAAAAATAGGGTTCCGTAAAATATGTAAATAATGTAGTCCACGCGCGCGAAGCCGCGGACGGAAAGCTAGTAGCTTATAATTGGATAAACAAACAGTTTTAAGTCCAAAACATGATAACGCAAAAATGATCTTTATGAGCTTTTTTAAGATACAAACATAGTTATAATTGCAGCTAAGTTGCGAAGGAAATAATAAGGCACATAAATCGCTTTCAACAAAATTTGTTTGAAGTGTGAGTGGAACTGCGAGCTTTTCCCTTAGAAACTCAAAAAACGCGAAGAATGCTGTTTTCCTCGTACGCTTGCCGACATCCCGTTTGAAAGCGCTGATAAGACGTGACTCGCGTGATGTCACAACTGGATACAGGGTGGGGTTGACTTAGAAAAAAGATGAAGAGCTTAATTTTGAAGACAGCTAAACTTTTTTATCGTGAACATCAGATGTCTAAGATCATCGGATATGAGTCCACTGCTGAAATTAATCTCCAATCCATCTTAGTTTTTGGAGTAGAGTGTAACATTTCATTATTTACTGACAAACCTACAGCTTAGGAACATTTCATTGCATTATTATTATAAATTGATTGTAGGATTTATGACCGTATCTAAATCATGATAATTTAGTAATTAAGTCATGTTTCTTTTATCCTAATAACTTCTATGTCCTTTATTTTCCAATTTTCCGCCCAAAACTTTGTCAACCTGTATGTTAGTTGCGACCGCAGCACTTTCACTGCCATAAATCATCGCCCTTCAGCGTGTGACCGCTGACAACGATCTCGGGGTGGCCGCAGCCAGATTTCTTTGAACTGGAAAAGGCCAGATATTTGCGAATACTGACTTAATTGTGTATTGGAAATTGCTCCAGTTTTTACGTCTTTAATGATATTGGAATGGAGGGTAATGTTTCTGGAGTAAATCACTTGTATGTACCGCTTTTTGACCCGCAAACACCTATTATAAAGGGTAAAGAGAAGATTTATAAAGAAAGGCGCAGAATAGGGAAGGGTCTGATAGAAGATTTATTCGGAATAGTGTTGTAGTTACATTACAATGTATCAGTTAAGATAGCATCATATAATTCGCCTACGTCTAATTTTTTTGGATACAAGAGCGTTTAATGTTACCGGATCCGAGTACTGTTGCGTATTTGATGGTTTAAGGCACATTTATCTCACACAATCTTTTCATTATGATGAAATAAAAGTGCGTAAGTCATTTTATAAGAACTAGAAAGTGTGCTCGTCTGAAACAAGTTACACTTCCATGATGTCCGCGGGCGTACTGGGCCGTTTTCACCGATGTTAACGCTTGTCATGGCGTTATGCAGCCGGACTGACCTCTGCCCCGGGCGAGATGCAGCCGGCGTCATCCTCCGTGGGAACAGAACATTCATCGTGGGGCAAATAGGCCACTTATTTTATTTTGTTGTGGATTAACATTTTGTAGAAATTGCATATTTTATTTAACAAATATTTAGTCCAGTCAATAAAGCATTATAGATGGAAATCCGTGGAACACAATTTTTGACTTCGGGACTTTATTTAGACTAGTTAGTAGGTGAACATAGCAAAAGTCCCCGCCCTTAGCCCTTGAGCCGGCGGGGTGAGGGGGGTTTAAAGGTATCACTTTTCGGTTTTTCGCTTAATCCTCGGAAACTATGCGTCCTAGTGACATGACTATTATGAACCAAAAAAAGCTTATTCAATTTGCTACAGGTGAGATAGTCAAGTTTTTCTATATCTTGTATAGTTTTTGCGGCATCTGTTCTAGAAGGTCTGTATTATTGGAAATTTTATTTTTGTCTTACATGTTCCCATCAGGAGAAAATCGACTAAATCGACATTGAGCAAATATTTTAGACATGCGGAAGCATGTTAAGCCTAGTTCCAGGGAGAGGACTGCACTGTGCGTATATTTAGACGAATCAATTGGAGCCACTTTTAACTCCACATCACTCAAAAACTACTGTGCATTAACACTTCAAATTTGGCTCATGTGTTGAGACTTGCAAGATAAACATCAGCTTCAAATTTCATAAATATACCTCAAACGCTTCTTTAGGTATTGACGTCCAAAAATCTACATATCTGACCTATAGACCAAATTCTAACAACTTCCAGATGACCTTGAAGGTTCAAATTTGGCATACAGATAGGTAGATGTGTAAATACAAAGGAAAAAATAAAAAACTAGTAAATTTTAACATTTTACATTTTTAGATAGATTTTAGTGTTCTAAATGTCGATTTTTGAATGTCAATACCTAAATAACCGTTTGAGGTATATTTATGAAATTTGAAGCTGATGTTTATCTTGCAAGTCTCAACACATGAGCCAAATTTGAAGTGTTAATGCACAGTAGTTTTTGAGTGATGTACATAAATATTAATTCGTCCTAATAAATAAGTAGGTTATTAGTAATTATTTTTCTACTTTTTAATGTAGGTTTTTTGGAGTCGGTTTTATTTTTTTTTATAAAATTTTACTTATTTATTGCTTTTTAGTTAACTAATTATTACCTTGATGTTACCACTGAAGGTAGGCAGTACATTGAGACCATACTCTTCATGTCTAGTGTAAAATAATATTCCCTACAAAATTCAGGTTACCATATAGGAAACCTAAAAAGACCTTAAACCGTCAGCCCACCTTAAAAACATGAAAGAATACAACTGTTGGTCTATTTGTACTTATAATATTTAAAGAATTATCCTCCAACTCCTAAGCATTAAGGAGTTTTACCTTCTATCATCAGCTCATCAATATGAGATGATGATTTCCAGGAGCAAATATATGAATAACTTAAGAAAAAGTTTGAAAAACGATATACGTGCCTATAAAATTTGAGGGTTGCTCTCGATTTCCCTAGGATCCCATCATCAGATCCTGACTTGGTGACAATGGGACCACCTCAGAAGTGTACCCTATCGAACAAAAAAAGAATTTTGAAAATCGGTTCATAATTGGCGGAGTTATCGCGTAACAAACATAGAAAAAAAAAAAAAAAAAACATACGGGTCGAATTGAGAACCTCCTCCTTTTTTTGAAGTCGGTTGAAAATTACAGACCTTCTAGAGCAGATGCCGTGAAAACTATAAAAGATATAGAAAAACTTGACTGTCTCACCTGTAGCAAATTGAATAAGCTTTTTTTGGTTCATAGTAGTCATGTCACTAGGACGCATAGTTTCCGAGGATTAAGAGAAAAACCGAAAAGTAGTACCTTTAAACCCCCCTCTCCCCGGCGGCTCAAGGGCAAAGGGCGGGGACTTTTGCTATGTTCACCTCCTAACTAGTCTAAATAAAGTCCCGCGGTCAGATATTATGTTCCACAGATTTCTCTCTACACCGTCGTTAAAGCATTCATTGACTGGATGGACTAATTCTAAAACTTGCAAAGTGTTTCAGTGCCCTAATAATCACGTGTTGAAGAAAATTCAAGTACCTACCTATTGTTTTTGCAATTTAAAATTATAAAACATACAATCTCTACTACGATTAGGACAAGATGGGTGAACTATCATCGCATTTGCGAGATATAAAAAAGGTACTTCTCAGCTCCTAGTTACTGTCCCACACAGTTGCTCCGGAGGATGTTTTGACCTGTAAAAATAATTTTCCGACCTTCACTGCATCATGGATCGTTATCGCAGTGATGGACTGACGGCTGAGGTCGACGGTCATCGAGTGATGACATAATTGATACCATCTTGCATCGGCCGGTACTTCTGTAACATGCGGCCTTCACCCACACAATTGTGGGAACGTCAAGTTCCGTAGACTTATTGATAGGACTGTTATGATTTATGGCGTGATAAACAAACGGTTATAGGTCAGGTACCTACCTACTTGTCTAATAGGTATTTTATTGTTTGTTTGCAAAGATGTAATGTCGAGGTTTTTCTTATTACATGTGATGAAAATATCAATAAAGATATTGCTTACGTCGACCATGACGACAGGATGTTGAGATTAAAGATAAACATTTATGTAGGCATCAGCTGAGCGATGGACCAATCAATTAACATCGACTATTGATCACCTTAATAAATCGTTTCTTTCATACTGAGTGATTATGCTACTGTATTGTTTATTGCATTTTTTAAGTTCATGCTGTTTATTTCTTTAATAAGCAAAAATAACATAAAAATAAAAGCTCCTGTGTAAGAACATTTCAGTAACATTCTGTAACATTGGATGTAACTACATATTTTGTAATGATTCGGGATTGCGTCGATGTATGCAAAACTATGCATAAATAAAAAAGTTCCGGAAATATGGGTTTAAATCGATTAGAAAAACAGTTAGCTTTCGGTAAAACACGGTCAATCTGATTCCTGCATCGTTGATTTGTTTGTTTTTACGTAAAAAGTGTCAACGTGAATCAGTTTAATTTGTCAAGAGGTTGTTGACCCGCTTTAGCAGACGGAGGCTGCGCGCGCGCTTGTCGCGTTATGACGTCACGTAATGAGCAATGAATGACGGACGGACGGTATCGTTATCGTAGTCGATTTACACGACTGTATACTTACAGGTTGATTTAATTCACAGTTTATAAACTTTAAATTAAATACACTTGTTGAAATGTTATGTATTAAATAATGACATTTTTATTGCAATATCAATTACATTTTATAGAAACGAACTCACTACGACCTTTTTTTTTGCATAACCCAGCATCCTGGCATTCATGTAATTTGAATTCTGGTTACATTATTCTCATAAATAGTTATAAATACAGCTTCTATAGCCTGACCAAGAACATAAAAACCCTGGCATAGAGGCGCGCCAATTGCATTTGATAGTGCAACACTGAGTACAGTCGTACCTGTGTTAAATTAATAGGCTAACTTTATGTATCAGGTCAGGATTCAGGATTACGGGCTAATTTGATATTTTCCTAAATTAACGAAAAAATGTTAGTATAGGTAACCTGCTTTAAATAAATCAAATGAAACCATCAATCGAGCTAGTAGGATTTATTTTATTATTCATCAATAATCAAATTCAGAACTTGAATATTCAACTGCAATGTTTGCTCATGAACGCTTCAAACTCGGTACTTCTTTCCCAATTTCATAAAATTCAACACTTAGAAAGTGACAAAAAAAATTAAAATAGGTAGTTGAAACAAACCACAGCTAATTTTCATAGTGGACTGTACTATGCGATAAACATGTCAGTCAATTTGACAACCTTTGTCGGAAACATTATTCAATTAAAATATTATCCGAACCCTTACTATTTCTCTTCGACAAATACTTTAACACATTGTGAACCACTTTTCTTTCACGATTATAAAAAGATTTTAGCAATTTAATTCACAAAATCAATTGCGCACATTTAAAATAAAGTTTGTTTACACTTTGACAGCAATAGACTGACATGCAAGGTGACATTATAATGAAGTTTTCAGTTACTGTTGCCATTAAAAGAAATTAGTACCATTAGTTTTCCGCAACATGGCGAGGGTTTTTATGTTCGTGGTCGGGCTATACAACTTTAGCAGTTCAAAAACATAAGCTGTTAATGCACCAAATCTGATCTACGAGTCTGGTTTATACGTAATCGCGCAAGCATTTCATTTACACCGCATCTCATGCTCCCACAGGATGAGATGGAAGCCTGGACGCCTGTTCTAACCAACATCGCGTTACTCATCATCGCGGCGGCGCATTGCCTGGTCTGCGTGGCCAGCATATACCACCTGTCCAAGCGTGTGTGCCCGTGCTTCCGGCCCAAGCGCGCCTTCGACCACAACCAGTTCGACCCCGCCTTCAAGCAGCAGTACGTGGTGCACGTGGACGAGAGGGACAAACAGGAGCTGTGTAAAGAGCTCGAGGGCAAGCTGCAGCCTGACACGCTGAAGAAGAAGAAGGTTGGTGGAAAGAATTTACAAGATTTTACGTATTTTATCACCTACTAGCTTTCCGCCCGCAGCTTCGCGCGCGTGTACTACATTATCTACATATTTTAAGGAACCCTATTTTTTTCCAAAATAAAATTTAGCCTATGTTACTCGTGGATAATGTAGCTTTCGAATGGTGAAAGATTTTTTAAAAACGGTCCAGTAGTTTTTGAGCCTATTCATTACAACCAAACAAACAAACAAAGTTTTCCTCTTTATAATATTAGTGTAGAAGTGTAGATTATTGGCAGGTAGCTAATACACTACACTATACTACACTACACTACGATTCTAGTCCCAAACTAAGCAAAGCTTGTACTATGGGTACTTGACAACGGATATAAACATACATAAATACTTTTTTTTTTGTAAATACATACATTTTATACATAGTAATAACTCATAAGATAGGATCACCCGCTTTGCAACGGAGGGAAGTCGAACCTTAACTTTGAACTCCTCCTATGTTCTTCTGATTAATTTCGTTGCGGGTCCAATGACAGTTTAACTTTCCCCCGGAACAAACTTAACCTTCACTGGTTGGGATTTTATTGTATATTCTAGCTACACAGGAGTTGCAGTGGTGGGAACGAGAGGTGGGAATAGTTCCGTTTAACAATCGAATGGATATTATACACAAACTAAAAGTAATTGCGTCGCGCCCGAATCCTTTCTAAAGCATGTATGAAACGTTGCCATCACTCGCACCGGTATCTGAGGCTAATAGAATCTTTTTCGTATAGATTGGCTTATTTATATTGAATGACGAAACATATTTTTGGTGTCATAGAATATGCCGTTCAAGTGACGTGAGGAAATGGTTGAAAGCAAAGTTTCTTTTAATAACCAACAGTTAGTAATTGATGGACATAGGTATTATTATGTTAATAAAACCTATTTATTCTGTATTTATTTACTGGTAGCAATCCAAGTCAGGGCCATCGATCGAAATGAAACCTATTTTGCTGGCGCATGTACCTGGGCGGAGCTGCGTAGGCTGCGTGGTCAGCACACTTCCGACCCACGAAGGCCCGCCCTAAATGCATGAGCGGAAAAGGGCGGCTACTTACATTACGCTCCTAATGATATTCATTTATACGAGGAATTAAAAGAAATGTTATATTAGTTAGGTATTTAGGCCCAGTTTCCACCAAGGAGGAGCGGGGCGAAGCAGAGCATAGAAATGTTTTGAGTAAATTTCATTCAATCTAAATGAAATCTGATTGGTTATTCAAAACATAGGAAACAACCGAAACCGGGCCTAAAGCTTAATCTCAAGTCAATTAAAAGAGGAGATTAAAACCTACAATCAAGAGCATACAAAAATTGTTGCAAAATAACAACTAATACAATGGCATGAGCTGCCACATGTGTTTATCCTCTTGTGCCTATTTGTTGAATATTAAGAGCGTTGTAGCAAAAAGTTGGCGTTCGAATTTTAGGTTTTTATTGCTTGACGTCGCGTAGTGAGTGCGCAAACTGCATTTATCTGTACAATTTCAACGCTGCGTCGACTAAACGATCTTAATCCGTAGTTGTATCGTACCTAAGACAGTACACCATACATAATAATAAAGAAATAATGTATAATTTACCTATTTGATTTTTTCTCAGATCAGACTTTTAGCAAAATCAAGTTACGTAATTAATGTATAGCCCGACCAAGAACATAAAAACCCTCGCCATGTTGCGGAAAACTAATGGTACTAATTTCTTTTAATGGCAACAGTAACTGAAAACTTCATTGTCATGTCACCTTGCATGTCAGTCTATTGCTGTCAAAGTGTAAACAAACTTTATTTTAAATGTGAGCAATTGATTTTGTGAATTAAATTGCTAAAATCTTTCTATAGTCGTAAAAGAAAAGTGGTTCACAATGTGTTAAAGTGTTTGTTGAAGAGAAATACTAAGGGTTCGGACAATATTTTCATTGAATAATGTTTCCGACAAAGGTTGTCAAATTGACTGACATGTTTATCGTATAGTACAGTCCACTATGAAAATTAGCTGTGGTTTGTTTGAACTATCTATTTTAAATTTTTTTGTCACTTTCTAAGCGTTGAATTTTTTAGAATTGGGAAAGAAGTACCGAGTTTGAAGCGTTCATGAGCAGACATTGCAGTTGAATATTCAAGTTCTGAATTTGATTATTGATGAACAATAAAATAAATCCTACTAGCTCGATTGATGGTTTCATTTAGTTATTTATTTAAACTAGGTTACCTATAATAATATTTTTTCGTTAATTTATGAAACTATCAAATTAGCCCGTAATCCTGAATCCTGATACATAAAGTAAGGTTAACAGGTATTAACACAGGTACGACTGTACTCAGTGTTGCACTATCAAATGCAATTGACGCGCCTCTATGCCAGGGTTTTTATGTTCCTGGTCAGGCTATATTTTTTACACTAGTAAATCCCGCGACAAGTTTTTAATCTTTAAATTGAGTATAGTAATAAGTTGATGGGTTTGAAAGAATTTATGTTTTATTTTATTCTTTTTACAGCATCAAAAGCTTGTTTATGAAAAATATTTACTGTTTAAATTTTACTTTTGACTTTTTAGTTTTTATGATGCGGGATGGAAAAATTAAAATTTATTCTGATTTGTGTGACGTTTTTGCACATAAATATGGATAGGTTAAATAAATAGAATGAAATGTATGAAAACGAGCGTGCCATTTTTTAAACGTTATCTATAATATCTGTGTCCATCAAAGAGCTCGTAACTAAACATCGTAAGCGCCATTCAAATTATTATCTAAAAGTTAATAATAAATATTTAGTTTTTGTAAATCTAAACAAGTCAGGAAATCAAAGAGGTAAATACTGATTTCATTGTGATTTTATAGAATTTATTATTATAAACCACGGTCGTATAATGCTAAAAAATCAGAGGTAACTTTAAGATTTTTATCCATAGAGCAAAATTTATCTAATCGTGTTTTTAAACAGTTATCCCATTAGGTACACATGCGTTCTGTAATACAAACCCATCAAAAACAATACTTGTCAAAAAACCAAGTCTCACTACTCAGTTGTTCTACGGTAAAAAGTTGTGAGATCCATGTAATACCAAGTCCAGTCCAGGAAATCATTAACGTTTTACATAAATATATTGACTTGGCCATCGCATGAAAACATGTGTAAATTAAATTATTTAGTGCCAAATGAAACGAAATTTTGCATGCCTGTGTTGACATGCAAAATTTCAGCTCAATGGGAAAACGGGAAGTAAGTAAATTTTAAGTTGCAAGATTTTACAACTCCAGATGTCAAAGAAAATAAAAGCTTGTAGATAAATAAATAATAAATAAATAAATATCCTTGGACATTTTTACACTGCGCTTCTAGTCCCAAACTAAGCAAAGCTTGTACTATGGGTACTAGACAACGGATATAAACATACTTAAATACTTTTTTTTTTGTAAATACATACATATTATACATAGAAAACACCCAGTCCAATACAAACAAATATGTTCATGCACACAAATGTTTGTACTGCGCGGGAATCGAACCCGCAACCTCAGGAATAGTAGTCCGTCTCGAACCACTATACCAAACGGCCGACAAAAAGATAGCTTTACAAAGAAAAGAAAGATATATGAAGAAAATAAAAAGTACTGTCTACGATACATTTGTTAGGCCGTGTTGCACCGTCTTACTTTAACAATGACATCAAAATTTTGGATGTCAAACATCTGTCTAACATAAAACACCGGTTATTGTCAGTTAGGGTCAAAGTTAGGTGGTGCATCTCAGCCTTAGTGTATTTTAATTAAANCCTTGTATACATTTTTTCAAAATTTTTGATGCGCGAGGCCCCTTGTACCGCGAGGCCGTAGGCGGTGGCCCACGTCGCCTACGCCTTACGCCGCCTCTGAATAAACTGATTTACAATAATAAGTTTTTAGATAAGCACTTTGGACTTTTGGGCATATGGATTAGGAACACATTTGAAAAAAAAACTATTATTCTTTTTTTAGAATATTAGTAACATTAACCACTCGTGGTGAGCTAAATAATAAGTGCTTATGTTACGAGACCAATAGTTTCGATTCGGATCATAATACGGGACTATTCCCACCTCTCGTTCCCTCCTCTGCAACTCCTGTGTAGCCAGGATCTACAGCTTGACCACCACAAAACCCCAACCAATGAAGGTCAAGTTTGTCCCGGGGGAAAGTTAAACTGTCATTGGACCCGCAACGAAATTAATCAGAAGAACATAGGAGGAGTTCGAAATTAAGGTTCGATTCGGAACATAAGTCGGCCAATCCGAAACCTTCACCGTTGGGTACAGTACTGGGAAATCCCATCCTCCTATCCTCATCCTACAATTAAAACTAGCAACCGCAATCGCATAACAAACGGCCACAATAAGTCACCCCCACAATTGCTGCCATAAAAGTTTCACGCGTTCCAGTATTGTTGCTTGACGCAGGTTCAACTGGGCAAGTCGGAACAATAGGGCTGTATCTCGATAAACGACCGATACGTTTCAGCCAGTTTCAGCGGTAGTATACTCGTTACTTTTGCAGCTCTATTTAGTGGTAAATTAAACTGCTCTTTCTTTGTACTGCATCCGGTCATAATTTACTTTGGGTCAGTCTTTGTTTGCAAAATGAACCGGTATTGACCTTATCACCATTGGTATTCTCTACCTAATGCAATGTTAAATTCTTGTAAAAAAAGCGTGCGATTCTCTTAAAAATGCAAAGCTTCTGATGTTGAGGATATCTACGAACGATGATGATCACTTAGCACCATAGGTACACCGCCAACTCTAATTTTTGTGTGATCCAAAGATTGACTGAGAGAGAATCAATATAGCATGAAGTTTTATACGTTACAAAACCATAAAGCTTTAAATAATTTGATACCAAATATAGGATAATAGCTAATAATAATAACAACATTTTAGGAGTATTTAGGTACTCGACTAACAACCACTAGAATTCGAGGCATCAATTAGATGTTCAGTCCACATTTCAGAAAAACTGCGATGGCTTTCTTACAAGATGGCTTTCTTTCTTTTGTTACAAGTGACTGCATTTGTGCCAGCACCTGAACCTGAACAACTGAAAAGTTGTCGTATGTAGAATTGAGTGGTCCCATGGTCGAGTCGACGCGGTCGAGTTGTCGTAGATTCTTCGTTTCAGTTGTCTTTTGTCCCATCAAAAGGGTTTATTATTTAGTCAGGCCCATAGTTAAATGGGCTATTTCCTCTATAGGTTGAGCCAGCTTTATTGAGCGGCAGTGTGGAATGGCACACCCACTTCCGAGGCCGCTGTATGTCAGCCACCGAAATTATTATGACTGTCACAGTTGATGAAACAATCATAATTCGATAGTGTTTTCATACTAATCTTTAAGTAGGAATTTTTCAGACAGTCGCCTTGTGTTAATTGTATGAATAATAATTAGTAGTATTTACCCTGAGATGTATTGTGCGGGAGACATTAGCAGGTCGTATTCTATTTAAGTATTCTTTATTACTAAGGCCTCAGCCTCGAACTTAGCGGGCAGCGGCGCGGGAGCGGCGGCGGGGCGGGAGCGGAAGGATCTTATGCGTAAAATTAAATAGACCGGTTCTCGAAAACAGCGGCGCGGCAGCGGCGCCGGAGCGGGCAACGAGCGGGCAGCGGCGAGGGAGCGGGCAACGAGCGGGCAGCGCACTGCTTCTTTTGCCCACAATAAATCGAGCGTTAGGAATAAATTTGAATCGAAATAAAATTGTCGCCGTTGTTCAGACATTTCGTTTGCGAATAAAAAAAAATATCTCGACAACACAACCCCGAACACAACACTTCGCCGCTAAAGCGCCGCGCGAGCTGCCCGCTTGTTTCGAGAACGAGTCTGCGTTGCCCGCCCCGCTCCAGCGCCGCCGCCGCTCCCGCCCCGCTGCCCGCTAAGTTCGAGGCTGAGGCCTTTTTTTTTATGATAAGTTACTCTTAGTAGCGATTATTTAGAGCTTGGAAAATAAATTTAATTATAGTTGTTGCAATTCACGAAGCTTTGCATGTGGTTAATAACATTAATCAGTATAGATACGCATAAATTTTGTTCAGTCTCTTTGTTTATTAATAAATAAAAATATCATACTAAAATTGCAGAAACATATTTCGGCCATTCTCAGATAAGCTAGTTTTTGCGTGTCCGGGCTGTTAAATCGTTAAAAATGACAAATTAGAGACATGCAAGTATTTTTATATGTTACTTTACAACCCTATCCAGTTCTGCATTAAATCATAGGCCTTTATTTTAAGTATTTGTGTCCTAATTAATTTCATGAAAGTCTGTTCTCTAATTACCGTGACGCGTCCGCACACCGACTTAATGTTAAAAGTTGGCTGTAATTTTTATGTCGTAAAGATTTGGTTTACTCCATTCAACATTTTAAAGAGTATAAAAGATTGTCTTATGCATAGCAAAATATCTATTCAATAGAACCATTTTGTAAATAATTAGAATTAAAAAACTGCTTGTCCGAGCGAAAACCCTAATTCCCGTGACGTTTTTTGTTTTTGGGCACACAAGCCTAAATAATAATATTTGACATATCATTTACGTGCGCGGCGCGAGCCCTTAGTTAGTTCTATGACCTGTAAGCAAGTAGACGTCTATTGCGTTGGCGTACCGTCGATGAATTGCGTAAGAGTATAATTACCANCTTATTCTAATGAATACATTCTATCTTCTTACTTAGAAATAAATTTGATGTAATATTAGTTCAAAGTTGTGCCTTCGCGAGTTACCTGGAAATCGGGCTTTCGAAATTCGCTGTTTTCGTAGACAAAAATCCAATTTGAACGAGATTTTGTCAATAGACATTCCGTAAAAACGTATGATAATTACGATGATATAAGTCAAAAGAAGCTATAACAATAAATTATATGACTAAAATCATTTCGAAATCTGCCAAATTCTCGATTTCTGCATGAAAAATGTGACAACGCTCTTAAGAGCGCTTTCACATAAGGGCGGTAGCGCGACCGCAGCGCGGCAGCGGCGTTTTTATAATGTGAAGGCATGCATCCGCTGTCACATAGTAGGTATGAAATTTTCGGCAGCGCGTCAGTCGCGCGTTTGTCGCGCTGCTAAATTAGTGACCGACCGAATATTCGTTTTCGTTTTCGTTTTCGGCCATTTTCGGCCAAAAAATGGACATTCGGCCATATTTTCGTTTTCGGCCAAAAACCAGCCGAAGCTTCGGCCAAACCGAATATCAGAAATACGTGAATAAGATGGTGACGTTTATCGTTCCGATATCTTCGGGAGTGAATCTGGTGCACTCATGGTTCCAATCAGACTTGAAAGAACGCGGTATTGTCACACTTTTTTGAAGTTGTGAAGTGAGGTTACGTTGTAAAGGGTGTTCAGCGAGAATTTTCCAACTTCAAAATTGAATACAAATAAAACCAAGGAGTTTTCATTAAGTTTCATTGTTTCAAAATAGAGTCTAATGCGGATTTGAAATACGCCATGAGTCACTGGTCGGGAGCCTACAGAGCGTTCGCAGTTGAGCAATAAGTATTTGAAATGTATTGTCGAATGATCGATGAATGTCTGATACCACAACTGCAACTGCATCCCGGTCAACTACGTAACTCTATTTCAGCAAGAAGGTGTCTCACCACACACGGAGATTACCTCGATGGAGACACTGAGGACTATTTTTTTCAAATAAATGATCAGCAAGTACATGGACATACCCTAGCCGCCTCGGTCACCAGATCTCACACCATGCATGCCACTTTTTCTTGTGGGGATATCTCAAGTCAATAGTTTACAGCAAACAATCCTCAAATAATTCAGGTTCTGTAAGAAAATATCCGCCGTGAAGTTGCAGGAAAATTATTAGCGCGCTTTGCTCTCGCATAGTTGTGAATGTAAGGATACGGCTATGAGAGTGCCTATAGTAAAACGGGTATCATCTAAGACATTGCCTATAAAAAATTAAATTCGCATTGTTAAACTCCAGTTTTGCATTTGTAATAGATAATAAAAAAAACATTAATTTATTTGTATTCATTTTTGAAGTTGAAAAATTCCCACTGGACACCCTTTATTTCTTCTTCACTTCCCAATATTTCAATATACACCGGATATAGGTAATATTCTACTAAGAATTCATGATTAAATTTTTTGTGTTTTAATGCCGGTTTTCTTTAATCAATCCTTATCAAAATCAACTGTCAAACGTCATTATGTTTTTGGTCAATATACATAATTTCAGATTGAAATTTGAGAGTTGAAGGTCATTTTCGTTTTCGTTTTCGTTTTCGGCCGAAAATGAGACTGCAGCCGAAGCTTCGTTTTCGTTTCTGTTTTCGGCTGAAAATCCATATTCGGTCGGACACTATGCTAAATGGCCTAAATGTGAAAGTTCTCTAAAGATGACACTTTTCTGATCATCACTAATTTCTTGTGTTTGGTAAAAAATGTGTTTGGCATCATAAACTAAATTACAACTGTTAAATTAAATTGGTGGAAGAATTAGCGTCTGTCACACAGTTTAAATGTAACTAGTACAGACGTTAATGATCCCTATCTTAATACAGCTCCTATTGTTAAATGTATTTTTTTCGTTAAGATACCAGAGCATTTTTAAAGACACAATAAAGTTATTTATTATTTATTCTTTAGGACGAGCCCGAATACGGCAGTGCGAACAGCAAAGAGAAGCTGGTGACGCACTGGCTGGGCCGGCACCAGGGCGTGCTGGCGCCCGCGGGCCCCGGCGCGCCCCCGCGGGGCCCGCCCGCGCCGCCGCCGCGGGGCCCCCGCCGCGCGCACGGGGTTAGAAAGCCGAGGAAGCCGCCGATGGTGCTGCTGCCCGCGCATCCCGCTAGCACGGTGAGTTATCCGTTATGAAAAGCAATGACTTTGAAACTACGCATTTATGTTTAAACTAGTTTTACCCCTCGTAAAATCCTTTCTTAGCGGATGCCTACGTCATAACATCTACCTGCATGCCAAATTTCAGCCCAATCCGTCCAGTGGTTTGGGCAGTCAGTCAGTCACCTTTTGTATTTGTTTTTAGTTTAATCATAGGTACAGCATACTCATACATACCATAGTATATAAGTGAGTACGCTAATTGCTAATACTTGTAGTATGTAATACTACACTACATACATACTAGTGGCCGACCGCGACTTTGTACGCGTGGGCCCCGTTATACCCCCTTAATGAGCACGAACGTTCTAAGGGAACAATTATGCAAAATTTGAGACTTAGTCCCGTTTCACCATCAATCCCCAATTTTTAAGTGACCCCTTTGAAAACAAAATTCCTGATTGATATGTGTTACCATAGGAGGTCACTTAAAATTAGGGATTGATGGTAAAAACGGGCATGAGGATCCTAGCACTTGTAGTTTCTGAGATTTTGTGATGAGTCAGTCAGTCAGTGACCTTTTTCGCTTTTATATAGATATACATTACAGAGTATTTGCAAAAGGTAATAAATTGAATTATATTTAAAAAACAATAAGATTTATCAAAATACAAATTATAAAAACGTTTTCCTCTGGTGCGTCCGATCTACCCTAACGCGTTGATGTCTTTTGTATGGCGCGAATAAGTAAACACGTTTTCAACATCACACTTTGTGGTTGGTGGTGGTTCTTTCTTGGATTGGCCTATAAGTTGCGATATTATATCACTAAAAATGATATTTAGCATTATACATACAATATTCCGAACAGACTTATACACTCAATAATTAAGAATATTACTTATAAGGTAATCACTTACCATCAGGTGATCCGTCTGCTAGTTTGCCTCCTGTCACATATTAATGTGTGATTTGAGTTGAGACCACTATCCGATCGACAGATAAAGAGTTTATAATAACAGGGTGTAACTATTTGATATTGACATAGCATTACGCAATAAGTTTTTATAACTCGCATGAAATCAGTCAAGATCGAATGCAGATAAGTCGTTCGAAGCACGCCCAGATTCCTGCATTAATGACTGCGATTAGCGAAACCGACTGAAAGGCAGTTATAATGTATCGGTTATAGACTCGCTGCATAGATCACGGAGGCAGGAAGGGTCAGAAGGCTTGGTTTTTATTAGTCTGAGAACTACGATCGAAATCTTGATGATGCAGACAGTGGTGACTGAGTTTGTTGCGGCGCTTCTTCTCAGCACTTGCCAAATGTTGGTCTCGAAGCGCTGGTAGGGCAAAAAGATTATGAGACATGTAGAGGCTCCTTAAGAGCAAAATGACGATTTGTAAGTACTATTTATTAGTCTAAACAAATAAAGTCATTTTGACTTTGACTTTGATAATAGGCAGGGTGTTTGGAAGAAGGTTAGATCTCTTTTATAATGCGAACAGCTAGGGACTGGAATTCGTTGCCTTCTGCTGTCTTTCCCGAAGACTATAATCCGGGCCTTTTCAAGGCGAGAGTGAATAGGCACTTACAGAGCAGATATGTAGACTGCAACCCACTTAACACCAGGTGCGATTGTGATCAAATATCTGCCTTTTTATGCATAAAAAAAAAGATAAACTCGTAGGGTGTATAGTGTACAAGTAAAGTCATTTTGAGAATAAAAATTCGGTCATTTGATTCTAAGAATGAGTTGTTATCGATTGTAATTGTTATGGATTTCTGTGGATTAGTATTAGTGACGCCACAGTTATGAGTCGATATGGTATGATAGTGCCAGCCGATAGTGGTTCGTAGTTCATAATATGTTGGTAGTCTACTACAAGCACCGCCGCTGTGGCATCGATCATAGACAACAGTGCGTTCGGCGGAGTGTTCCGCATTGCGCCCGCTTCCTGGAGCAGACTGACGCGTGACACTCACTGCTTTATTTACCGCCGATTTCAAACTCATAAAAAGTAAACCATATTTCATTTATGAACTACAAAAAATAAACAACACAATGTTAGCTTACATTTCAAAATTAAACGTTGAAATGTTCTTAATTTATTAATCACTTCATTGGTACGTACGTACTTAGTATCAAACTAGTACGCGGTCCTGAAAGAAACGAAAACATGGCGCGAATAGCAAAGGGATAAAGCGCCGCGAAGAGCTTGGGAAATTCGGTTACAATTATTACTTATCACAATATTTCCCTTATAAAGCTGAATAAACATTTTCTTTCAATCTTTTCACTCATCTGACGCAAGATAGAAAGACTGAGAGAGCCTATACAGTTAAACAGTTTCCTTTCGGGGTGGATCCTCAGATCGCAGCCGTGTAGTTAACGGAACGTCGCGATGTCGCGTTACCTCTGAGATATTGTCTAAATTGTGTCATTTGCAGGACGCGCAGCGAGCGGTAGCGCGGCAGATAAGATGATTTAATTGCTCACTTAACCCCATTTATGTCATAGAAATAATTCTCTAAACTTAGCCGCTGTGTAACTTTGTTGCGTGATTATTTCATCGAGGAATGATTAAATGCCAAGGTTAAGTTTATTACATAACTACTACTTTGTTTGGCTAATCGCAAAATATTTATAAAATACTTTTCTTAATGTAATGTTACGTACAAAATGAGCTGACTGATGACTTGACGTCATAGGAACTTAATGAAGTAGACGTCAAGTGGTTTTAAAACTTAGGAAACCTATTTTGCCTACAGACAAAGTTATTGTCGCTTAGTGCTTATCACTTATGTTAAATATATTGTGTGTCAAACATATATTTTACATTTTGTTTATACGGTATAATTTGTATTATTGTACTCTTATTGATTTCATCTGATACTGTTTCAACCGTGACCATATTAAGTGAGTCAAAGAAATTATTTTTAATAGTAAAAAGTAGATAATAAACACTTATACCATAGCATTAACACCGTGAGCCGCGGCGCAGTGAGTCGGATCGATATCACCGCGTTTCACTGCGCGCTTCCGCGCCGCAGCTATGCGCTAATGAGATGATCGTCCGCCGACACCACAGCGAAGCGCCACGAGGAAGTCGATGCACAAATAATTCTTCTCTTTAATTGTTATGCCTGTAACATCATTAACGCCAATGAATTTGATTTATTTAATCTCAAAAACTGATTGCTTAATATCAAATAATACTTTTATAAACTGGTAACTAATTCAAACCAATGTCTTAACAAAACTAGAAGCCACGAAAAACTCAAAATTTTAACATAAAACTTTCAGAGAAAGTCGTTATAACTCGCCTGTCCTTATAAAATATTTATAAGAATGCATTCGCTATACAATTGCAATTTTATGCAGTTGCATTAATTTATACGAGTGCATCAGTGAGGCACCACTTGCGGCAGTCGATTCGCTCAGATCATTGTAGCATCACAATGATCAATCAATCATTTCATCTTAACCGATTGTTAAATATTTGCGTCAATATTTCTGTTGGATGTTTATGTATTGGATGCTAGATGTATCGATGAAATAAGTTGAAAAATATACTTGTCAATCAATTTAGATAGATTTAACAATGTTTGCGTTACTCAGTGCTCAGTGGTCACTTGGTCTGAGGTCGAAGGTTCAAGTCCCTCTTGAGGCTGTCATTAAAAAAACATGTTTGAGATGTATTATTGCGAAACCCACTAACTCATAATATAATCAGTTATAAGAGCATAATAATACCTATTTATAGGCTCATAAAATAATCAATCTTTACTATCTCAGGCCTTTATTAAGGTCAAATCCCAACTATCCCAACTAATCCCAACTAATATTATAAATGCGAAAGTAACTCTGTCTGTCTGTCTGTCTGTTACGCTTTCCCGCTTAAACCTCGCAACCGATTTTGATGAAATTTGGCATAGAGATAGTTTGAGTCCCGGGAAAGAACATAGGATAGTTTTTATCCCGGTTTTTGAAACAGGGACGCGCGCGATAAAGTTTTTCTGTGACAGACAAAATTCCACGCGGGCGAAGCCGCGGGCGGAAAGCTAGTATATCATAATAGGTTGTAAACTTTTCTGTCGTAGCTCATGGTAAAAACGTTTCTCATCGTTAAGCCAACATGTGTATGTGATTTCATTTGCGTGATATGTATGCGGTAAGTGATCAAACGTAACGAATAGTCGTAAATTTTTATATTGTATATCTTACTAGCTAATGCCTGTCGCTTCGCCCACATAAAGTTCGGTCCCGCGATAAAAACAAGATATTAATTAATTGTTTACTCAATTTCCAAAAACGATACCTATGTAAGAACTATTTGTGAAAACTCTTTTGGCAAATGTAAAGTTTAATTAATTGGTAACTCTATGTGTGATATAGAATGCTGTTTGTTTTCCTAACAATAAAATACAAAATACAACACAAATTAACTTTATCCAAATGTTTTGGTGTATAATATTATAAATATTAATTTTAAAAATTGCTAAATGTTTTCTCCACAATACTTACATACCCTTTTTTATCCTCCCCTTAATTAAGTTTTTTGCGACAAAAAAGTTCATCTTCATCAATATTGGTTCAGTCGCTTAGGCATGAAGTCGGAACAAAAAGACAGTTAGTTTTACATTACTATTAGCTCAGTTTATACTACATTATGATGTGAAGTATTTCTTTAATGAAGTTTACATCGTAAATTATAAAACAGTAGGTCTGTTTTCTACATGCAAGAAACGTAAGTAGTTAATACTGACGTTAAATAACTGTCAGCATTTCTCTTTAAATTAAATAAAATAAGTAAGTAATTTCATGAACTGATTCAAGTTAGTTGTATCTTCTATTTCAAACTCTTGACAGGCCTGGCTCACTCCGCGCGGTACATCCGATAATTAAACAACAAAGCAGCAAATTACCTACAGCGAAGCGCCCCGCCGGCGGGTATTATATCAGTCGAGTGTCACGCGCGCGCCCGTCAGGACGCTGGCGTGCGTTGTAGTA